TACTATTTTTTTTTGCCAGGCCCCCTTGCCATGGGCTCTTTGGGAGCCCACTTTTTTACCCCTCTGACTTCCATAGAAGTTTGGGCAGGTGTCTCTGAGGGATAGGCTGTCCCCTCTCCTGACCTAGCTGAACCTTCTGAAGGCTGTCCTCTGTACCACTATTGCTGTCCCTGAAACTCCAGCTCTTTATGTAGCACTTCATAGTTTTGGGGGGAAGGATAAAGAGAATAAACATTTATAGGGCACCTATTATGTACCAGGCACTGTGTTAAGCACTTTACAAAAATTATCTCATTTCATCCTCACAACAACCCTTTGAGGTAGGTGTTTTTATTATCCCCACTTTATAGTTGAGGAAACTGAGGCAGAGTTTAAGTGACTTGCCTAGGGTCATAGAGCTATTAAATGTCTGGGGTCAAACTGGAACTCAGGTCTTCCTGACTTTAGCCTTGTTGTCACCTAAACAGGTCTTGATTTAGGAAGCACCTTCCATTTGTACTGTAAATATCATGTATGCACCTAGTTATTTACATATTTTCTCCCCCATTTTGAGGACAAGGATGTTTTTGCCTCTTTTTATAGTTGTAGTGATCAGCATGATGCCTGGCACATAGCAGGGTCCTTAATAAATGCTTGTTGACTGACTGACTGATAGGATTCATTATCTCATTTGAACTTCACAACCCCCCATGAGGTAGGTGGTACAAATATAATGATTCCTATTTTCCAGATGAGGAAACTGAATGCTTGACTAGTAATCACAGAGATATAAATGGCAGAACTGGGATTTCAACTTGGGTCCTCTGAGTTCAAATTCTGACTTCATATCCAGTTCTGTTTCTACTAGTACCCTTATGCTTTAGACACGCTTCAAAGAATATGTTGACTTTCCTAATTAAGTGCTATTTTCAAAAATCATAGTATTCCTTGTTAAGTATTTATAATTGAATTTTTGTCTTTATGAAGCTATTTTTGCAGTTCATGGAATTTAATTGATACAACCACATTTGTAAAGTCTTGATTCCATAAAATTCATGAGTTAATTTTGTTAATCTAAAGAAGTATTTTTTTCCTTAAAATTCCATTAAAACTCTAGTGATAAAATTTTTTTTCTTTTCATAGTAGTAACTAAACTGTTGACATCCATTGGCATTCATTTTGCTTATATTAAAAATATCAGTCTTGCTACACGTTTAATGAGAAGTTCTTTCTGAAGAGTCTTACACTACTAGAAATGACAGATAGGAAGACTGTAAGGAAGTATGGAAAGGTTTATGTGAAATCATGTAGAGGGGAAATGGCAGAATCAGGACCACCCTAGGATTACAGATTTAGAGTTGGAAGGGACCCACCATTTAGTTCAACTTCCTTATTTTCCACTTGGGAAAACTGAGGCTAGGTGAGGTTAAGTGATTTCCTACAATCACAAGTAATAAGTGTCAAAGGTGGGGGTTGAACCTAGGCCCTCAGACTCTAGAGCCAATTCTCTTTCTACTGTATCAGAGATCTCCCTTAAATATACTGACTGTATTGGAGGAGAATAGATGTTTAGAGGTCCTAGTTGACCTATTTAAACTGTTCCAGGGCCAAACTTTTCTCAGTAAAATAAATTCCTTAAGAATAGAGACTGTTTTTTTCTTGTTTCTTTTTTGTGCCTGGAATATAGTATGAACTTAATAAATACTTAACAATTGGTGAATTAAAATGAGTGGTTTGGGTTAGATGACCTCCAAGGAGCTTTCCAATTCTGAATGTCTGATGATCCTTTGTTAAAAAAAATCATGTTGACAAAATCAGAAAAAAAAAACACACAAAAAGAAGAAGAAATCAAAAGGGATCATTGATGTTCTTGTAATTATTTGTGAATATTTGGAGTTTGTTTTTTCATCTCTTAAAATTATATCTATTTTTATGGTTGTTTTTATCGTCAACGAGTTCTAAATCTAGAAAAAAAATAATTTAAAAAAGAGACTGGTATAAATCTGAAAGTCAGAGGACACGATATGGCCAACCGAGATGTTTTTAGCATTAAAAACATGTTTGTTGGTGGTTCCTGTAGGCCACTCTTTTCTTCCCCTTTCATTAATCTAATTATTTTAAGACAGGCACACTACAGTGTAAAGACTGCCCCCTTCATTCTTTTGTTAGTAATGTAAGCTCCTCTAGATTTCTATTTTAATTTTGGTATCCTTTACTTGTGTTTTAAAAATAGACAGATGCTGCTCTTATAGACATGATCAATCATTCTGAAAGCCTTGTAACACATTTATCCAGCCCTACCCTGTGGTCTAACCCTTTCACTGCTGATTTCTGGCCAATTTAGGGGAAGAAGGGAAAAGGGTATTTGTGGAATGGGAGGGGTGTGTGTGTGTGCATGTGCGCGCACCATACCTTTTTTACACAAAAGTTTGAAGGGATCATAGAGTTCATTTAATCCAACTCCTCATTTTTACAGATGAGGAAATTGAGGCTCAAAGAGGTTAAACAAATTGCCCAAGGTCACATGGGTTCAGTAAGTGGTAGAGTCAGACTCAAGCCCAGCTCTTTAAACTCCAAATTTAATTCTTTTCACAATCTATTTCCTTCTATGTGCCTATACTCCACCCTTACCTCATGTTCACCTGTATCCCCTGTGTTGTGAGGCTCAAATGAAATAATGAACGTAGAGCACTTTGCAAACTTTAAAGCATGATATAAATGTCAGTTTTATTATTATTGTTATTATTATGTCTCTTACAGGATTGTAGGATTTCATAACTTGACTCTCATGTCTTTCCAGATTGATCTCACATTCCTGTCCATCATACACTCTGTCTTCCAGCCACACTGACCTTATTACTGGTCCCTGTACACAGTGTTCCAACCACTGCCCATGCAGAAGATGTTCCCCCGTGTCTAGAATAATCTTCCTTCTCAGCTATTTTGAAAAAATAGTCACAGATCTACAGCTTAAAGGGAACTCTGAAGCTAGCTAATCCAACACCATAATTTTCCATTAAAGGAAACTGAGGCCCCAAGAATCAAAGTGACTTCCCCAAGGTCAAGTAAGTAGTTTCAGAGATGGGATTAGAATCTAGGTCCTCTGACTTCCACTGTGCTATCCTGTATCCTATCTCTGTGTGTTTATCTTACTATTTTGTATTTATTTTACGATTACGTACTTATCTATATATTTATCTTACTGTTCCTCAAATGTGGCATTCATTCTGCTTATCTGAGTCTTGGCCAGGCTGTGTCACCTATGCTTAGAAGGCACTCCCTACACACCTCTGCCTCTGAGACTGACTAGCTTCTTTCAAAGCCTAGCTTAAAGGTCATTTCCTACATGAAGCCCTTCCTGATCTTTCTAGCTTCTAGTGTCTAGCCAATGAAATCCCCTTGTATTTACTTTGTAGATATGCAATATCAACTTATATTCAAATAGAGTATGTCCCTGAACCCTCATCCCCCAGTAGAATTAAGCTCTTTTTTTTTTTTTTTTTTTTGCAATTGAGGTTAAGTGACTTGCCCAGGGTCACACAGCTAGTAAGTGACCAGTGTTTGGTCTGAGGTCACATTTGAACTCAGGTCCTCCTGACTTCAGGGCCGGTGTTCTATCCACTGTGCCACCTAGCTGCCCCTCGAATTTAGCTTCTTGAGAATAAGCACTTCCATTTTTTTTTTTAACTTTCAACCTCAGTGCCTAGTACAGCTAGTACCTGGAATGTCCTGGGAGCATAATAAATGTTTGTGGATTGATTGATTCTATAAGGCATATAGATGTTAAGGGACTCATTGGAGATGATGCTGTTAGCAAGTGTTAAAGGTGAGATATGAATATAGGTATTTCTGACTCTAGGCCCAGCACTCTGGTATCTGCTAAAGCCATGATGCCTCTTTTCATTTCACAGATGAGGAAAATGAGGCCCAGAGAAGAAAATTGTTCATATTTACAGAAGGAATAAGCATGAGGTCACTCACATAGGTAGTAAACAAAGGCAGGGTTCAAACGCAGGTCCTTTGCCCTCTTTCCATTAAACCAACTTGTCTCTCTCTCTCTCTTTTTTCCTATGTGCGTGCGTGCGTGCGTGTGTGTGAGAGATATGCCTCTTCTCATACATATATATCCCTGGAAAGTCACTGTCATTAAATGTGGTCACAGAAACTTACCCACATCTCAATTCAAAAAATTCTCTACCACCTCAAATTCTTAAATAACATTAACAAACAGCAAATTCTTAAATAACAACAGTGCATGTTTATGTATCACTATAGATTGGAAAGCACTTTCTTCACAATAGTCCTTATGAGGTAGGTAGAGCAAGTATTATTATCCCCATTTTATAGATGGGGAAACTGAGGCTCAACCAGATGAAGTGACTTGTTGAAAACCACACAACTATTCAGTGTCAGAGGACTTCTGAGTCACAGTCCAGTGTTCTTCCAACTAATAATAATAATAATAACAATAATAATAATAACACATCTCTTTGAGGTTTATAACAGTATACTGCCTTTGTTCTCATGGAAAGCAATGGGAATTTTCATTGGCTATTTCCCAGTCTGGAATTGTCTCTGAACTCATCTCTTCTTCCTGGCTACCATGGCTTCCTTCAAGTCTCAGCTAAAATCCCATCTTTTAGGAGAAGCCTTTCCTGATCCTCCTTAATGCTAGTGCCTTTCCTCTCTTGATTATTTCCAATTTATCCTGTATATTTACCTTGTCTCTACATAGTTGTTTACATGTTGTCTCCTCCATTAGACTGGGAGCTCCTTGAAGAACAGGGACTATTTTTTGCTTTTCTTTGTGTCCCTATTGCTTTCTTAGATAGTGCCAGGAGCATGGTCAGCACTTAATAAATGCTTATTTGACTGACCAGCTGATTACTGACAGTTTAGCACACAGTCTGGCCCACTGGGTGCCGTCTCAGCAAACACTTCTTCCCTCAGGAGACAAACTTACTAGTTTAAAAGATTTTAAACCAGTTTCCACTGCACGCAGGGAAGCGTTGGATACTCACTGGTGAATCGGGAATGCCGGCCGCCCAGCCCACATTGCCGCACTTTGCAGCCCCGGAAGAGCCCGTAGTAAATGTCTCCAATGAATTTAACGAGCTCTGGATCTGTGGCATTGACCAGATCCACTCCGGTCTGACAGAGGATCTTCCCACTCGTCCACTTGGGGACTGCCACGGCAATGATGATCAACAAGAAGGATGAGAAGCTCAGCAGCGAGGCCAAGCCGAACCACGTCTTCTTAAAACATCCAGGCATCCTAGTGGTTTGAGGAAATCATCCCCGAGGCCACGCGGCAGCAGCAAGGGACAGCGGCATTCCTTGGGTGCCGAGAAATCCTCGGGGCCAATGTCAGCTTTTCAATACAGGCCATTTTAAAGTGCATTTCCCCCAGAACCCTCCTTTTCCTTTGCTGCCCAAGCACATGTTTACTACGACAGCATCCTGAAATGGTTGCACCGACAGCCTTCATTAGACTCAAGTTTGCACAGAGGGTGGTGTTTGTTCCCAGAAGAAAGTAACCCTATATCAGCCTCCGACTAGTGTTTCAGCTGATGGTTTAATTGTCCCCTATTTTAAATATTCAAATGACACTGGGGTGCTTATCAAAAGTGCTTGAAAGACGCAATGGGGCAAAACTAAGATGAGATTGTTAAGAAGTGTCAAAGAGGTGTGAAAAGAAGCTGAGGAGGAAAATCTAGTGATTGGGCACAAGAATTTTGCTGACAGTGAGACTGCATCAAATGTCATCTCTTTTATCACTGACAAGACCTTTCTCTTTCTCTAAATGTCACTGCTGTCAGATCTCTTGGGACAACTAATAATCAGGAGGAAATGACCTTCCTTTCTCCAAGACATTTAACTGAAGTATATAAACAGTGCTTTATAACACCTGGATTTGTCACTGGGTGAATCTTCTGAGTGTAAAACTGCAACATAAATCAGTTTGTGGATTCATGATACTTAACAAACTGAGTAATGTGTACTGGAAAGAGCACCAGCCTTGGAGGAAAAACAGTTCTGGCTTTGGCACTAACTAGTGAGGTTAAATGACTTGTCATTTAACCTCTCTGACCATCAGTTTCCTCATCTGTAAATGGGGGCTGATGATACCTACACTATCTGCGTCACAGGTTGTCATGAGGCCAGTGACTTGTAAAGCAAGATATACATGGGTGCTATTATTATTATTGTTGTTGTTGTTGTTGTGGTTGCAAGGCAATAACTACAGTAGTCAATAAAGATGTAAGAAGATAAACAGACTACATTCTTGCCCTCGTGGGGCTTATAATCTACTAGCAAAGATAAGACAAATAGACAAATAACTGTAGTAACATGCAACACATGATAAATATATTTGAGATCATAGGATTTAGAGCTGAATGAGACTTTACCAAACATCCAACACAGTGGGTCTGTCTCAAACTTTTTGGTCTGAGCGCCTCTTTATTCTCTTAAAAAATATTGAAGACTCCAAAGAGAGTTTGTTTATGTGGTTTATATCTATTGACAGTTCTCACATTAGAAATGGAAACTAACAAAATGTTAAAATATGTATTCATTCATTAAGAAATAATCATATAAAACCAATATAAAAATAACCAAAATAACAATATAAAACAATATAAAAATAAAAAGTACATATTAACATATTTTTATGAAAAACAATATTTTCCTAAACAAATAAAATGGTGAGAGGAGTGACATTGTTTTACATATATATTTTTCAAATCTCTTAAATTTCTGGCTTAATATTTGACAGATTCTCTCATATTTGCTTCTTCATTCAATCTGTTGTGATATATTGTTTTGGTTGAAGTCTATAAAAAATTGAGCCTCATACAAATATGTAGTTGAAAAATGAAGGAGTATTTGAATACACAAATAATGCTTTAGTATTAGTACAAAAAGAATTTTGCCTTACAGATCCCCTGAAAGGGTCTTGGGTTCAAGGACAATGCTTTGAGAACCACTGATCTAATACAACTGTATCATTTTATAAGAGTAAACTTGGGACCTTAAAAGTAAAGTGACTTGTCTAAAGTTATTAATCAATCAAATATTTATTAAATGCCTACTATGTTCCCAGCACTAGGCCCTGGAGATACAAGTACAAAGAGTGAAACAATCTCTACTAGCAAGGAGTTTACATTCCAGTGACAGAAACAAGTGTGTGTGTGTGTTTGTATACGTATATACATACATGCATATACATACATTTAAGTACTTTGTATTAATTCACTTACATATATTATGGTAATGTATAATAGATTTTATATTTATATAAAATGTTTATATTTGATATTTACAATATGTTTTATACAATATATTATATTTTAATGTAATATATAGTATATAAACTTAAAGCGAATCAATACAAAGCAGTTAAAGACAAGGTAGTTGGGAAAGGAAGGCACTAGCAGGTGGAGGAATCAGAAATGGTGTCATCGTAGAAAACAGGGGCTTTATGATGAAGAAATAAGGAGGGAGTGCATTCCAGGCATGGAGGAAGAGTTTGTTAGAAATAAGATCTTAGAGAAATAAAGCCTTCTAGTTAAAAATGAAACTAAGCTTGGAGTGAGTGAAGAATCATTTATTACACTTCTCAAGAAAGAAGGGCACAACACACTTTAATAGCACGTGGGCACTGGTTCAGTGGTAGAATCAACTTTTAAACCGTTAGTAAGATCCATACTCCACCTGTCAGGGCTCCTATTGGTCTAGTTCATCTAAGTTACACCCTTCCTGAACAGCCCATTGCATGTTCGTCCATGTTCTATTAACTCCGCCCACTTCGTAGGTCCCTTGTTCGAAAATGGCGGCTGTCTCCACCCGTGGGGTGTGTCAGTTCATATTCAATTAGCCTATTAAGCAAGCACAATGGAGAAAAGCCTTTGCCAGGTCGATGCCCCATCCTTGATCCTGGCTAGTTGCAACCCGTTTAGCCGCTAGGGCTCTTTCTTAAAAACTAGTTGTTTTTGGAGTACTTTCTGATTGGTTGAGGCATTATCCACAAGATCTTGGAATTTCTTATCCTGCTGTGGAAGCCTAACTCCCTAAAATCTTTCTTACAAGTTGCGTAACATGGAGTAGCCAAATTGATATTACATGTTGTATATATATGTGTATGTATACACACACACCTCATGACCCTTGGAGTCCTACGTAGTAGTCACAGAACGCCACAATGCCTCATGAGAAGCCTTTCTTAAGCCTGTAGAAGACAGAGTTACTGTATCAGTTATCCAGTGAAAGAAGGTAATATCTGGGATGTTCACAAGATGGTCCTCTCTTTGAGCCCCCATGCCCCAGACCCCTCAGTTCCTCTCTGGTATATATGTGGTACAGCCTCCCCAAAGGCTGAAATCTCTCCTCCAGAAATGAATGGGTGGTCAGCCAGAAATGTCCAGACTGTTTACTTCCTGCTGCATTAGGCTTCTAGTGGCAGCACTGAGCATTTAAATCCTTGTGGGCAAGGTTTGCAATCTTGGATGATTTGGAATATTGCTCAAAATATAAAAAATATAAAATTTACAACTCAAGTCACCACTCGTATCTGTAATCTCTCTTAGTCAGTTATCCCCCATATCCATAGGACATAAATATGCAGCATACTGTGGCCACAAAGTTTATTAAATATAACAAAAATCATTGGCTCATAGATTTAGAGCCAGAAGGGACCAGTGAGTACATCTTGTGCAAATATTTTATAAATGAGGAAACTGAGGTTCAGGAGTTAAGTAACTTGTGCGGAATGTAGGCTCGTTGAGGGTAGGGATTGTTTCATTCTTTGTACTCTGGATTAGAGACTATACCAAGAGAAAGAAAGGGAAGCATGGTCAGAGACATTTTTCTTCTTCTCCAGCTCACTGGTTAATGGGATTTTTTTCAGTATTTGCCAGTCTCTACTCCAGTGGACAATAGAGACTCTCTCTCTCCTCTCTCTTTGTATGTATATATGTATACATAGATATATACATGTATATACACATGTGTACTTACATACCTAAGTTCTACCATGGGCAAGAACTGATCACATAGAATGAAACTGAGTTTACCTTTAAGACCAAATAGCTACTTTGGCTGGAGTGGTGGAGCAGGTGCCACACAGTAGGATAGATACTGACAAAAGGGACAGGGTGAGGAAGAGGAGATGCTTGATCATTCTGGGTTTCCCAGTGTAAGCAAAGGAACTATGAGAAGTCTAAACTGACTAGACTGTATGTGAAGGGTGATGAGCAAGAGAAAAGAAACAGGCTACTGAGTCCTCCCCTGACAATCAGTGGAGCTGATCTCCATTCTGCTTTGGGGTCACAGTCCTGCTTCTTTCATCCTCTGCTTTGAATCACCGGAGATAGGCTCTTGGGCCCTGGCATCTTGTAGCCACCATGGTGTGACAGTCTCAGTCCTCCAGTCGGTCTGACCACACCAGCTGCTAGTTCCCCATGCCCTATTAGCAAACAGGAAAGCAAAATTTTAAGGACAACAGAAGGAAATAGGGGCAGTCAAATTTGGAACCCAGTGTCCACACCTCTTCCTTTTCCCATGGCTTTTTGCTCTTTTCAAGCGTCATTCCCCTGGTTTCCCAGTGAGGGCATATGATGTGATCTCCAGGCTTTCTTTCTCCACCCTGAACCCGGAAGCAAGCAATTTGATAGAGATAAGAAAGCATGGCACGCACACAGGTTATGCTGGGTTATGTGTTTTAACCTCCAAGTCCATTGCTTTATCATTCTACATAGTACTCATAAGGCATAATAATGACAAATTTATATAGCAATTTATGCCTACACCATACCTTCCATATATGATCTCATGTGATGTTTACAAAACCTTGAATAATTTTGGTGTCATTTTTCCTGTTTTTCAGATGGGATAACTGAAGCTCAGAGTGGTTAAGTTACTTGTACAAAGCAACATAGTGAGGATCTTGGGCTTGAATATGGCTTATGTCTTTTAATTCCACATAAAGATCTTATTCTACTACATGCCAGGAGCACACCTGGCAAAGGTACACCTTGGCTGTGGCTGATATTAGGAGAAGCAAAACACATAAAACCAGGGACATTCTGAAATTATGGTATGTTTTGAGAGTCTTTTATGAAAGACATGTAAATGAAATATGTTATTATGATTATATGCATATAATGTTTAATTCATATAATTAGTAAGAGAGGAAATACTTCTTATTGGAGGAGGGGGTTCTTAACCTGGGGGCCACGAACTGGTTTTAAACATTTTTTGATAACTTTTTCAATATAACTGGTTTCCTTTGTAATCCTTTGTATTTTTATTTTATGCTTTTAAAAACATTATGCTGAGAAGGGGTCCACAGGCTTCATCAGAATGCCAAACTGTTCTATGACACAAAAAAAGATTACACAGCTCTGGACTGGGGGGAATCCAGGAAGGCTTTAGGGAGGAGGTGACATTTAACTTGGATGTTAACAGGTGAAGGCGGAGGAGCAGAACATTCTAGCTATAGGGAACCCAGATTAAATTGACTTCTCTGGACAAAGGAGAGGTCTATGGGCTATTCCTTTTTCTTTCAGATAAGATAGACAATAGCCCTTTAAATATTATGTCTATTTTTTTATTTATTATATACCTACTTAAGTGATGGCTAAGTGGCACAGTGGATAGAGTGTTGGGCCTGGAGTCAGAAAGACTCCTCTGAGTTCAAATATGGCTTCCGACACTTACTAGCTGTGTGATCTCAGGCTTAATCTTGTTTGCCTCAGTTTCCTCATCTGAAAAATGATCTGGAGAAGGAAATGGCAAACCATTCTAGTATCTCTGCCAAGAAAATCCCAAATGGGGTCATGAAGAGTCAGACATGACCAGAAAATGACTGAATAACAGTAATACCTACTTAAATTTCTATCTGCTTGGATAAAATCTTTATGTGTCTACGGCTGGAAGCTATCAAACACTTATTTTTGGGGCTTATCCTACCTGCATTATTTTTATTTACTTTTCCCACCTCACTTAAAGCTCATAGATCTAAAACTGGGAAGGGACCTTAGGGTCCAGTTAGAGCAGACGTTCTTAATTTGAGACCGATGAACTACTCTTTTTAAAACAAAGTATTTTTAAAAATAGTATTTCAATATAGCTTCCTTTGTAATCCTATGTATTTTACTTTATATATTTAAAAATATTATTCTAAGAAGAAGTTCTAAAGGCTCCCATCACACCGATATGACACAAAAAACCATTAAGAATTTCTGCTCTAAGGAGGCAGCTAGGTGGCACAGTGGACAAAGAACCAGCCCTTAAGTCGGGAAGACCTGAGTTCAAATCTAGCCTCAGACCAAACACTTGACACTTACTAGCTGTGTGACCTTGGGCAAGTCACTTAACTCCAATTGCCTTTAAAAAAAAAAAAAGAATTTCTGATCTAGACCAACCTTTTCACTTTACAGAAGAGGAAACTGAAACTTAGGGAAGCTAAGTGATTTGTCATATACGGGAAATTTTAGAAGTGTAATTTTTAATTCAAGTCTTTTAACTTCAAAGCTATTGTTCCTTCCACCGTATCACAAGGGTGGAGATAGCAAGGGTTATAGCCATCTATTTCATAGTGTTGTTGGAAGATCGAAATGAGATAATGTATTTAAAGTTCTTCATAAGCAATGAAGGGCTAGAAAAATGTAGCCACTAGGTGGCACTAGTAATAACTAATTTGATCTTGTTCACTAAAAGAAGCAGGATGGGGGATGCCACTTTCTTGGACTATGTGCCCCTCCAACCTGGGGAAGGAACAAATTCCAGTCTATTCATGTTTCTTAGATAGCGAGACATCTTCTATCACTAATCTGTCTCTGTCCCTCTGTCCCTTTCTTTCTTTCTCTCTGAGTGGCCCCAGTGGTCATGTTATTTTCCAGGGTGTAGTTAGTGTGGCTTTACCCAAACAAAATAGCCATGAGTCCCTATCCCATTAGCAAACCCCTACCTCTTCCCTGAATCAACTATAATTTGCAGAGCCCTTTGTGGCCATATTCTGCTGGAATAAACAGACATGCTTAAATATAATCCCTATATTTTACACATAAGTACATATTTTTACATTTAGGTACAGAATCAATAAAAGGAATAAAATAACACATAACAGAATACCTACCAAAGCTTGCAGCTTTTTTCAGACTTAGGAAATCTTTAACCAAATTACAGACACACTCCAAACCCAGGAGCTGTGAGAAAAACAGAGTTCCCATTCACTACTGCCTGGTTGAGAATTGTGTCACGTAGCCCTCTCTCTCTCTCCTCAGCTCTCCTTGTCAATTCAGTTTTATTGTGTGAGCAATCATTATATGGGGCTCAAACAGACACATCAACTCTTCTATCTGTGATAAAAGGGTAAGAAAGGCAGGAATAGGTTTTGGTTATTTGTTTTGTGTTTATAAATATTCTGTCTTGCAGTATTTTGCAAATACTCTACAATAATGCAGGTTGTCAACACCCTATGGAAGAAGACTTAGGCAGGACAAGTGGTATAAAGCAGGTCAACAGAAAGATGCATGACTAGAAAAAAAAGGATGGATCAATCTTGGAATGAGAATAGGTGATAATTATTGGATAGGTGGTGTGATTAGGAAGTCAGCAGTGACCCCTCTTACTAATTTCAGTAGAGCTGTGGAAGGGAAGCCAGATTTGAAAGGGCTGAGTTTTTGGGTGGTGAAGAAACAGTGTAGACTCAGGGTTATCCATTGGGAACTTTATTAGGTAGCCATATTTTTTGATTCTGAATCTGTGATTTCCTTAGGATAGGCAACTCCCAGTGAGGGAATTCCCTCTGTCAATGTGGATCAGAGGTTGTTCCATAACTTGTGGTCTTAGAGAGTCACTCCAGTACTGACAGCTTATAATATGGTAATATTATGTAATATAATATGTGAATATGTTATGTTACTTATGTTTCGATGTTCCGATATGTTGTTTACTCCTAATATTAGATAAGTGGCATTTTTTTTTTTTTGGCTAGGCAATGGGGTTAAGTGACTTGCCCAGGGTCACACAGCTAGCAAGTGTTATGTGTCTGAGGCCGCATTTGAACTCAGGTCCTCCTGAATCCAGAGCCGGTGCTCTACCCACTGCACCACCTAGCTGACCTGATAAGTGGCATTTCTGATAACTCTAGCTCCAAGTGATCCCTCCATCATCTGATCTCAAAGCAATGATTTCTCTTCTTATGTACTTATTTTCCAGGCAGGTTTCTCTCTTGGGCTCTTTTTCTCTTTGCTCCTTCTTGTTTTGGGAAGGGGAATTTTGGGATGTTTTTGTATGACCTGGAGAGTAGTTAAAAGGGTACTAGAACATACTCTCTTGCAGGTGAATTCAGAGGGGCTCACATTCTCTGAGTTTATATTGGAGGAATTTCTCTTTTTCTCTCCTTCTTAAGGCCCTGAGGCTCAGAGGCTTTCTTATTTTATTTCTACCTAACCATATGCTTCACTGCAATCTAGTAAAGATGGTCTAACAGGACCCTAGGAAAGGGTTTACTGTTGTGTCTTATCTTTCCCAAAGTACTTTACTCTGCAAACTCCAGCTTCGACTTTTGTCCACAGACATCCACATATATGGATGTCTTCTTTTGTTCATGAACCTTACACTAGCCACTTCCCTTCTTTATATATATATATATATATATTTTTTTTTTCTGCCTTACTGGTATGTATGTAAGTTATAGTTAGGATCTGTCAAAGCTCTGATTGAATTAATTTCCATTCTGCTGAGTAATGACCTGTATACTTGGATTTAAATAAAAAATTCCATAATATGATCCATGTGTATTTTCCTTCTGTTTGCTAGATGAATACAGAGTATTATTGTTTTCAAAGATTTATGAGAGTGTTGGTGGGCACAATCTGCCAAGTCACAGTATTTCTAAAGCTGAAAGATTCAAGTTCATGAGACTCTTAAAACAAAGATAAAAGCACATGACTATGTGCTTGTAACAGTTCTGGCTTTGGACCTCACCACTCAACCAAAACTGCTCTTTCTAAGGCTGGTTTCCATTGGATGTCATAATGACTAAATCTCATGACTTCTTCTCAGTCCTCACTCCTCTTGACCTCTTGGCAGCCTTTGACACTGACAACCAACCCCTTCTCCCAAATATTCTCTTTAGAGAAACTTCTCTGGGTTTTTGTGGCATTGGTTTATCTTGGTTCTCCTTCTACCTGTCTGATTATTTCTTCTCAGGCTCTGTGCAAGATTATCATTCAGGTCCTAACAGTGGATATCCCCCAAGGATTTATCCTGGGTCTTCTTTTTTCTCTATATACCTGCTTTCTTGTTGATATCATCAGGTGTCACGGGGTTAACTCTCTCTGCAGATAACTCCTAGATATATGTATCCACCTCCAATACTTCTCAAGAGCTCTAGTCCTACACTAGTAAATATCTGTTAAGATACCTGTACAGATATATCACACCCAACAGATCTAAAACAGAATTCATTATTTTCCCCTAATAAACCCAGGTTTCCAACCTTAGAGACATCTTCAATTCATTCACCTCCACCTCCCACCATATCCAATCAGTTACCAAATCTTGATGATTATACCTTGACAACATCTCCTATATGGATAGCTATGTGACACAGTGGATAGAGTGCTGGCCCTCAAGTCAGGAGGACCTGAAATGAAATCCTGCCTCGGACACTTACTAGCTATGTGACCCTGGGCAAGTCACTTAACCCTGTTTGTCTCAGTTTCCCCATCTGTAAAATGAGTTGGAGAAGTGAATGGCAAACCACTCCTGTATCTTTGCCATGAAAACCCAAATGGGGTCACGAAGAGTCAGAAACAACTGAACCACAACAACATCTGTTATATCTATCTCCATTCAAATTGCTACCATGCTACTTCAGGCCCTTGTGACCTCTTATTTGGATCAAAATAATTTCTTCCCAACTACTTTCCCTCTTTTCAGTGTCTCTTAGCTCTAATCCATGCTCTACACATGGGCCAAATTAATCTCACTAAATCACAGGTCTGATCACATCATTCTCTTTATTAAGAAGCTTCAGGTCACCCTATTAGCTCTAGGTTAAAATACAAACTCCTTAGTGGGGCACTGAAGACCCTTCACAATCTGTCTCCAGACTACCTTTCCAAGCTTAGTTAGAACTAGTCTTCATTCCCTCTATATTCTAGCCAAAGCCTACTTGTTGTCCTCTGAACTCAGAATTCCATTTCCTACCTCCGTGACTTTGCATAGGCTATTCTTTATGCCTAGGTTACACTCCATCACAACTTCTACCTCTCGGAATTCCTGATATTTGTCAAGGTTCAACTCATATGCTTCCTATAGGAAGCCTTTCCCAATTCCATTAGATATTAATGCTTTCTCCTCAACCAATCAAATACATAGTTCTATATTTATGTGTTTTATTTTCCCCTCCTGTCCTTGAAGACAAGAAATGTCATTTTCATTTTGTCCCAGTGCCTGGCACACAGAAGGCACTTAATGTTTGATGGGTTGGCCTAGACTGGTTTAGTTGGTTTTCTGGGGTTCTGAAGAACAAGTCCCATCCTTTCCCCACATGACAACCATTCAAATATTTAAAGACAGCTAACTTCCCCTCTCTCCAGGCTAACTATCTCCATTCCTTCCACCAGTCCTCATATAGCTTGATCTCAGAGTCCTTCACTATCTTGTTCACCTGTGGATGCTCTCCAGTTTATCCATGCCCTTCCTAAAACATGGCACCCATTAACTGAACACAATACACTAGAAGACGGACTTATGTATACTTCCGGTTGACTTCTTGCTTCTCTAGTTCACTGTACTCACTTAGATAATCAGGGAACTTCCTGTTTGATAACACCCAGTCTGCTGTCACCAACTCCCCTCGCATCCAGTTCAGAGAGCTATCCCTATAGGAGATGTTGTCAAGGTTTAACCAACAAGATTTGGCAACTGATTGGATATAGTGGGAGGTGAAGGTGAAGAAGCTGAAGATGAAATGAACAAGTTCATTTATAGATCAGAACCCAGAGAGCTAACAGTGACTGCTAGGGAAGAAGCCCTTTGCTCAGGGCCCAACTTCAGTCACTTTCCGTGTATGTTTACGCAGCCCAGTGGAGCTCTCCTGTATGTCTCTGATGTAGTTGCTTCTGACTGACCCCCTGCTTCCTCTACATGTCACATTCTTGGTACTACTCTGCCTTTAGTCTCCCCTCCTCCGAATCCCAGTCGATGATGCCTGGCACTTTCTTCTGATTCTCCAACTGACATCATCTTCTGCCCAGTAGAAATCCTGACATTGAACTCTTCCCTGTTGATTTCCTACTCATCCTTTACAGCCCAACTCAAATGCTACTTTCTCCACTAAACCTTTCCAGCTAGTAATGGGCTCCTGAGGAAAAAGTGAGGCTAGCGTCTTTGCACAGCCTTCCCTCACTTAAATCCAATTCACCTGTAATTATGGCATCACCTTACTGATGCCACGTGAATGAAGCAAACAACAGCAAACAACAACCTGCTAGTAATGACCTCTCCCCTCACACCACACACAACACTTTGTTTTGTAATTCTGATGAGCTTATGATGTAATGTTGTATTTTATAGCTACATGTGTTAGTGTCCTGTTCTCCTCCTAGATCCTACTAGACAGCAAAGCTTCATGAGGCTAGAGACTGCGGCTTATCCAAATTTTCTATCTCCCCCAACACCTCACTCGGTGCTCTGTAATTAAGCTGGTGCTTAATTTTATGATGATTAGTGTTATGTCTGGTTCCACATCTTCTTCCATTAGGCCTCCACGTCCTTGCCTCCCCCAACCCCAGGTGAAATGAATCTCTCCTTCCTCAAATTTCTCTTGCTGGGACGTCTCCATTTCCCTTATCACATTCTCTGTTGTATCATAACTAATTTGTAGACACGTTTTCTTCCCTCCCGTTGGACTGTAAGTTGAGAGGGAGACCTACTGTGTTCTGGTGAAACTTTGTAGCTTCCTCAGAGCCTGCATTCATGCACCTGCATTTGTAGACCTGAGCTCGGTACACAGCTCTCTCGGCTGCTAAATATGAAAGAAAAACCTCAGGAGAACAGTGTCTAGCCCTGGTGACAACAATACCAAGCAAAATCTTAGTGTTCACGGGCGGAGGGGTTCCCCACCTCCTTCCACTTTCCTCGCTCCCGCTTTGGTCCAATGACATTGGGCTCCTCCCTCACACTGGCCGCGCCAGCTCCGGACTCTGCGTTTTCATTGGCTGTCCCTCCGACCCGTAATTCTCCCCTTCCTCACCTCCGACCTTGGCTCCTAGCCCCCAGCCGCAGCCGCTGGCCTTCTTCCTTAATTGTAGCGGCCCCCCCCCCCCGTCCCCCGGGGAGCCTCTCCGCTGTACCTTGTGCATACCGCTTGCGCCTAGTTGTTTGCACGGCGTCTCCCCCCAACCCCTCGGGCTCCAAGCTCGCACAGGAGGGCACAGTGCAGACGCCTTCCTTCTCGGAGGCCCCACGGTCAGCCAGCCTAGGCGGCAGCAGCGCTCCCCAGCGCGCAGAGCGGGGCCGAGCGCACCTCCAGTCTCTCTCGCCGCTTAGCACGTGTCGTGCGGGGTGGAGGCGGGGCCGGGGCCGGAGCAGCGGCGCGGGAGGACGGGGATGATGGCAGCCGTGGCAGGGGACGCGCGCAGGGTGCTGGTGTACGGGGGCAGGGGCGCGCTGGGCACCAAATGCGTGCACGCTTTCCGGGCCAAAGACTGGGTAAGCGGACCGCCGCCGCGCTGCGCCGCGCCGGGTTTCTTTGCGCGTGGGACTTGGCAGGGAAAAGTGGCATTTGTGTGTGTGGGGGGGTTGGGCTCCCCTGAACACCGAGCCGGGGGGGTGGGGGTCCTTGCCTGTGGGCCCGGCCTCACTTCTCGTGTACTTCCGTGCACATAGGCACGCCTATGCATGCGTAGACGGCTGTGTTCGTGCGCATGCTCCCGCTTCTAGGGTACCCCGAAATACACATAGTTCTCCTCCCCTCTGCTCGCGTGCATGCCTCCGCTTCTGGGATACGCCAAAATACATTACCCCTTCCCCTGTTCTCGTATGTACGCTCCCGCATTTGGGATACCCCCAAAACACATGGAGCCCTACCCAGTGTGCATGCCTCTGCTTCTAGGATACCCCGAAACACATGTATGGACCCCCTCCTCTCCGGCGCATGCTCGGATACGCCCATGCATCCCCTCCCCTGTGCACACGCCCTCCCCTCTCTGCTACCTTCTTGCTTTTGTGAGGGTGCGGCTGAAACACGGACCTCAGGGGCCACTATTTTACCTCCGAGGCTTAAAGAGACCAAATTCTTGTAACAGGGTGTTAAAAGTGCACCTCTCGGGCGCACCCACCCGTGCACCCCTCAGCAGGGTCCTCATATTGGCTGGCTGGGGCAGGGTCTCCCGGGTTGGAGGGAGGGAGGGGAAGCTGGGCCACCGAGAAAGGGCACTGGGGAGACTGGGTTACGCATCTGTCATCCACCGACTTCACCGGGAAAGGAGGGGAGGGTGGGGAAGCTGGGGTGCAGCCCCCCCAGGAGGTTGTAGTTCACAGGGTTTGTAGATTAAGGGTGGGGTGGAAGACTGGGTGAATTTGGGGTGTCCAGGTTTCTACTTGGGCTTTGCTACTTATGGGCTCTTGAAACCTTGGGCAAGGCATTAAACTGCTCTGGGTCTCAGTTTCTTCTTGTGTCAAATAAGGGAGTCTGCATGATCCCTAATATCCCCTCTGGATCCGGATTTTAAGAGGACTAGGGCTCCCCGCTTCTTTATTTTCGCTCTTTTAAGCTAATGACATTCCCCTTTAGCACCCGCAGTCCTGGGACACAGACTTGCATTAGGTTCCTTTTGTTGTTATTACTGTGTTTACAAATTAAATGTCCAAATCTGACTGACTCCTTTCTTCCTCCCTCCTTCCCTCCTTCCTTTCCTTCCTTCCTTTTTTCCTCTTTCCTTTCCTTCTCCTGGCAGTGAGGGACTGGCAATGACAGTGTTAACTTCCTGGGAGGGAAGGGAGAAAATAGATCTGGCAGGCTGGGGTCAAGGTCCTTGTATGACTGACTGTACTTGTCCATGTGGGGCCTCCGGCAGGCCTAATAGACGCTGGGCCCACACCTGCGCTGGATACAAGATTTTTTTGGGGGGGGGGATTTTGACAGCAAGTGAACACATTAAGGAAGATTTGCCAAAAGAACCAGTGCTTACATGTTGAAAGAGGAATCTGTCCCCATTGAGAACATTCATAGCTTGTTTGACCAGTAAAATTTATTTTTCATCTATAGGGTCAAACAGGGATGGTCAGGACTGTGAGGGAATTCCCACTTGAGTGAGCTCCAAGATCCCTTTAAGAACTGAGCATCTCAGGCATGATTAAAGGAAACTTAGCTTGGACAACGAGGGATCAATGAATGTGGGATAGATAAAAAAGGAATGGGAGGAGAATCACTAGGCATTTACTATATGTGCCAAGCACTGTGCTAAGGGCTTGAGGATACTAGTAGAAAAAGAAACTCACACTCTAATTGGGGGAAGTAATGCTGGGTGTATATAAAGGCCTTGAATGTAAAGGCAAGACAGGGGTCCCGAAGAAGAGTAGGCCTAAGAGTCAGAGCAGAACAGGGATTTTGAGTACCCTGTAGGACGGGTGCAGGTGAAGGGGAGAGGTGTCTGTTGACCTGTCAGGAGGGGAAAAGGTAAAGGAGCATCAGCAAGGAACTTTCAGGTAGCTCTGGGGTTACAAGGGTAAACTGTCTTGATTCCAGGGCTGGGCAGTGTCTGGAGAACAATAATGCTAACCACATGTTTTTATAGAGCTTTAAGATCGGTCAAGCATTTCCACAGAACACCCCTATGAGGTGGGAAGTGCAAGTATTATTTTTCCCCCATTTTAACAGGTGAGGAAACTGAGGCTCAAATCCCTTTTATTTTCCATGGTTCCACAGCTAGGATTTGAACCTAGGTCTCCTGACACCATGCCTATCACCATTTGTGTTATGCATCACACTGCTTCTTAGATACATGTAAAAGACCTTGACTCTAGAGGCCTAATCAGTTAATGTTATAGGGAAAATCCTCTCCATAGAAGTGATCTTTACATTAGCACTGATTCCATCTGTCGCCTTAAACCAACCCCTCCACTTTTCTGGGTCTCAGTTCTTCATCTCTAGAATGAGGGAGTTTTGGGATCTGGGCCCCAAAAAAGAAAAACCCTGGACTTTCCCACATGGCCACATCTTTGGCATTTGCCCATCATTGTGGCTACGCTCCATCTCCCAGTTCTGTCCAGTTCTGTTACCTTTAACCAGCCTTGTCCTCTGTTGTCTTACCTCCCTATGGCCCCAGGCCACTTCTCGCCCTTAACGCTAGCTAGGCTAGGCCATGTGTTCCAGGTCCCTGGCATTCTATTACCTCAAGTCCCCTCAGACTCCTTGGCTGCTCCTAGATCCCTCCCACGGTCTTTCTGTATATAAGGCCCATCTTGTCTCCGTTAAGGTGTTTAGATTCTTAAAATCTAGCCACTGCTCAGATTCTTGTAATCTAGCCAATAGCTCCCTAATGTTCAGACTCCTTAAGAGTCTGCCCAATATGGTGGATGTTCTAATAAACCTTGTCTTTGGCTGAAAAAATAAAAAAAAATTAAAAATTAAATAAATTGGGGCAGCTAGGTGGCACAGTGGATAGAGCACTGGCCCTGAAGTCAGGAGGACCTGAGTTCAAATCTGGACTCAGACCAAACACTTGACACTTACTAGTTGTGTGACTCAGGGCAAGTCACTTAACCCCAATTGCCTAACAATAAATAAATAAATAAATAAATAAATAAATAAATAAATAAATGAGAGACTTTGACTGGAGGACCTTTAGACCAATTTCTAGCTCAAATGTTCCGATTTGTTGTCCCTCTCTCCTGGGGTTATCTTGGCTCATCATTTGATTGTAGTTCCTTTGCCATTATTTTTTAATTAAAAATTTTTTTTTGATAGAGCTTATACAATTTTAAATCTGGAAGAGATTTTGGAGATGATCCAGTGTTACCTCTTTTCTCTCCCCTCCTTCCTGTTAGATTTGAGGAAACTGAGCTTCAGAAATATTAAGTGATTTGCCTAATATAAAAAAGTTAGTGACAGAACAGGGACTGGAACCGAGTTCTCTGATTCCCAGGCAGATGTCCTTTCTCCTGTCTAGAAAGGCCCCTGTTTTGGGGCAACTGTGTTCGGTTATAGGTTATATGGAGAGTAAGTTTGATGGTAAAAGAGGAATTTAAGTTTTTCAAAGTTGGTTGTCTTTACGATGTTTTATATGTATACATATATATAGACACACACACACATATATATAACATGTATTATCATGAGAGACTTTGTTAAATGACTTTTTAAAATTGAGGTCAATTATTCACTTAACCCTGCTTGCCTCAGTTTCCTCATCTGTAAAATGAGCTGATGAAGGAAATGGTAAACCACTCCAGTATCTTTGCCAGGAAAACCCCAGTGGGGTCATGAAGAGTTGGACATGACTGAAACAACAAAATGTCTTTGGCATTCTGGGAGGCTGCTAGGTATTTCACTGTATGGTAATGCAGGGTCTGGAGTCAGGAAGACTGGAGTTCAAATGTAGCTGAAGGTGTATTTACTAGCTGTGTGACCCTGAGCAAGTCACTTAACCTCTGTCTGCCTCAGTTTCTTCAACTGCAAAATGGGACTAATAGCATCTACTTCCCTGGGTTGTTTTGAAAATCAGATGAGATAATAATTGTAAAAGTGCTTAGCACAGTGCCTGGCACATAGTAGGTACTATATAAATGCTGGTTATCATTATTCTCCCTATAACCGATCTCTTTATTTTGTTAAATAAAAAAAAAAAGTAAACTATGTTAGTCTAGCATGACCTGCCCCTGATGAAACCTTGCTGGCTCTTTGTGATCCTTGCTTGCTTTTCTAGGTGCTCAATCCCTATCTTTTAAATAGCTTTTTCTAGAATTTTACAAGAAATTAAAGTCAGTTTTTCTTTTCTTTTCTTTTTTTTTGAAAATCAGGGCCAAGTTTACTCTTCTCCAGCCCATGAACTCTTAAAGATCGCTGACTGACTCAGCAGTCACATCCCGACAGGTCATTCACCACCCGAGAATGACCCCTTTCAGTTTATCTGGGCCTGGTAACTTGTACTCATGAAGGGCCCCTGTGTTGTGCCCTTACCCTCTCCCTAATTCTCTTGGGTTTCAAGTACATGTTAACCATTTTTGGTCTGTTTACAGTCCAAAGGTCGTTTTATTTAGCAGAGAAAACAGAAGCAAAATAAAATGAGTAGAGATGCTTCAATCCAATCAGTTAATCTATCATTAAACATTTGTTAAATGTCTTCTGTGTGCCGGGCACTGTGCTAAGCACTGGAGATACAAAAAGAGGCAAAAGGCAGTTCCTGCCCTCAGGGAGCTTACAATCTCTTCCTTCTTTGATTCCCTTTATTTCCCTAGTATGTAGCATGTTCCACATTTTTGTTGGCCTGAGCTTTCCCAGGTGAACCTTTAACATTCCTGGAGTGTTCTCATGAGACCCTGCTAATTTGCCCAACTTGAGAATTTGCTCTCCTTTAAATAATCGTCCTGGGCCTCTTACTGATACTGGCTAATGAGATGGGTCCCTTGAATAGTTTGAAAACATTATTAATTTTTTTTTCAACTATTCTTGGCCACTTAAGATGCTATTTTTCTGTCTGGGTCTGTGACAGAAGCCATGTTATGTTATATTATAAGGTTAGGGACTTGACCTGTGGTTTCAACAGTATGAAAAATTCCCAGATGAGGAAACTCCCTATGACACTTAGCACAGGCTTAGGAATTGCTTAGAGTCCTGAGAAGTCATCATTTCCCAAGGTCACACAGCCAGAATGTGTCTGACATAGGACTCGAACCCAGATCTTCCTGAATCTGGCACTGTCTCCCTAGCTATTCTACCATGCTGGCTCATAGTGGATTAGAGAAGAATGTGTGACCTTGGAAGAGTTGATTGACCTCTGTGGTCCTTGGTTTATTCTTGATCTAGATGACCTTGAGGGTCCTTTCGATCTTCAACAATCCTGCAAGTCATTGCTTCTACCCTGTCTATAGTTTTGAGACTCTGCTCTTTCATTTTTTAAAAATCAGGATGTTTGTTCTTTTTTAGTCTATGAACTTCCCTCCTCTCCCTCTGGTAGTCAGGAAGACCTGGGTTCAGATCTGGCCTCAAACTCACTACTAGCAGTGTGACCCTGGAAAATAGATCAAGGAGAGCTAAATTAAGAATTATTAGACTACCTGAAAGCCATGATCAAAAACAGAGCCTAGACATTGTATTTCAAGAAATCATAAAAGAAATCGGCATCTACCTCATTAAAGTTTTTATAGATATAAATATCGAAATGAAATCATAGGGTTAGTCCAGGGGTGGGGAACCTGCAGCCTCGAGGCCACATGTGGCCCTGTAGGGCCTCAAGTGTGGCCCTTTGACTGAATCCAAACTTAACAGAGCAAATCTCCTTAATAATAGGATTTGTTCTGTAAAACTTGGACTCAGTTAACAGGCCACACCCAAGGACCTAGAAGGCCACATGTGGCCTGGAGACCACAGGTTGCTAACCCCTGGGACTCTAGTCTCTTATACTACTACGTAAACCTTTTCAAGAGTGTAGGTTAAATTAGCAAAGAGCTTCTAGCATCTAGAGTGAAAAACAAACCTACCAGCTGCCTCCAACCTAAAAACTCAACTCCCCACACTCCCCGCCCACCTCCTTGTACCTGGGGGGGGTGGGGGGTGAGAAACCCTGAAAGAAGGGAAGAAGAAAAACTAAAATAAACTAGGAAATAAATAGTGAAAATGCACATTTTAAAATCCCTCCTGTCCACTTATTTCTCAGAAATGCTTGCCTGTGCTCAGAGTGGGTCCCAGCAGGACCCTCATTTGATCTCTCAACAACCCTATGAGGTAGGAGCTATTGTTACCCCTATTTTATCGTTGAGGAAACTGAGGCAAACAGAGATTAAGTGACTTGCCCAATCTTCTGACTCCGGGTTGTGGGATATGTGGATGTTGCTTCTGCATATTACTTAAACAGAGGTTGGAGTCAGAGAAATAGTTTTTTTATTATTATTATTTCCACAAAAAGCCAAGTAGAAACCTTAAGGAATGCAGTCTGGGGGCTAGGTGGAAGTTGAACAAAAGGGAGGTATATTAGAATAAGAAAACACTCTTGGTGGTGCATAGACTAACAGGTGGAAAACCATTTCTGAGGTTAAAAAAAAAGGTGTTCCCAAGTAAGGGTTGGGGTCACCAAATTGTGGGGAGTGGGAGATGTAATTGGGGTGGAGATTCACATGGGTAAATTAGGTGCTTCGGATAGACTGTAACCTCTATAGTACTCAAAGAATGGGGAAATAGGGGAAGGAAATCTGAATGGAGAATAGGGAATAAAATGGTGTGCCTTTGTTTATACATGTGCTCCCACATGTGTGTTCTTATACATTCTGGATGCCTAGCCTTCCCAGGTAGTTAATAAAGCTTCTTTCTGATTCAACAGTGGCTTCATGGAATTCGTGATATTGATATAGATAACAGAGTCCAGTGTAATTGTATTTCACTATCCCAAACTATGCTTGTACTAACTCACCGTGTGACTTTGGGTAGGTCTCCATCTTCTGAATCTCCATTTCTTAATTTTTGAAATAAGGGCACATGAGGAGATTAGGTGTCTTTGGAGAAGAGAGGCCCTATCACAGAGTATTGAAAAGCCTGGGATAGTTCTAGTGGAGGTCCCTGACCTGCCACATTGTCTTATAAAGATGCACAAAGTTGTGACTCTTTACTAAATCTTTTTTTTGGTCTTTTTGTTCACCCTAGTGGGTTGCCAGTATTGACGTGGTAGAAAATGAAGAAGCCAGCGCCAGTGTGGTTGTTAAAATGACCGACTCCTTCACCGAGCAAGCTGAACAGGTGATCATAAAAATGTTCCAGGAAAAGATAGAATATTGTGAATTCAAAATTCAAATTTATTCAACAATTATTAGGCACCATGGTGTGTAAAAATTATATGTGTGAAAGCCCTGTGTTTATGACTAATTTATCTAGTTATGACCATAGTAATGATAGCTGCTATTTGTAGAATAATTTACAAAACGGTGCTTTAAATATATCATCTAATTTGATCCTCAAAATCACACTGTGGCTGTAGGTAGATGAGTGTTATCAGTTCCATTTTACAGATGAGAATACTGAGGTTTAACTCATCTTGGGTTTGAAGGCTAGTGTAGGCCGAGCCTGTACTATGTACTAATGTCTCCTGCCTCTGAACTGAGTGCTGTAAAAGTAAAACAGAATCAGTAGATAACAGAAGCACTCCAGAGTTCCCTGAAGGTTCAGAAGAGGGAGTAATTACTTGGGTAGGGTGAGGAGAGAGTGGGTATCGGGGAAGGTTTATGGAAGAGATGGTATTTGACCTGATTCTTGAAGAATGGTTAGAATTTAGCAGGTAGAGATGAGATGGGGTATAGGAAATGAGTGAGAAATCCTCACTGATATAGAACTTTAGATGTTCTAATAAAAACCACTGTCATTCCTCATTAGAGAAATGTGTGAATACAAAAGGAGGAAAGGAGTAAGATCCTTTCTCTTCTCATCCCCAACCCCCATCTCTTCCAGCATTAAAGATACCCAGGTAAACAGAAATTTGGATTTTATTTTATTTTTCTCTATGTCTCACAGAGAGAAATTTAAGTCTGAATAGGTATAAAATCATCCATCTGAGGAGGGAAATACACCTAATAGACAGCAATTAGCAGACAATGAAGCAGAAAGCTTCGGATCCCAGGAAAACTACAGGCGACAGAAAATAATCTTTCGAGGAGATTTTAGTGCAGTGCCGCCACTCCTTGTGTATTTTCTGAAATAAACAAGGCCTGGTGGTTAGCAGCTGGTTCTGTGTCCTCATAAGCATAATGTGCACAAATACCCAGGGAGAGAAGAATGGTTCTCCACAGCTGGGGTAGAGACACTCAGCAGAGGGAACATGCAGCTTAAGGATGAGTGTAGGGGAATTGGGAGCCATGTCTAAAGTAGATGATGATAGAATGAGGGAGCCAAGGGAAATGGGTTTCTCTTTGAAGGCATGGAGTGGGTTAAAAAAATGAGGAGGAGGAGATCAGTCGTGAAAGCCCTGTCTGCAGACGAGTGGTTTAGGCCAAGAGGCCTAAGGAGGAGAGGTAATGGACTTAAGCATAGCATGGGGAAACATTGTCTTGATTGAAGAAGATGCTCACGGTAGCAACTGGAAGACATTGCTGCCAGCATTCTGAGACATCCTGAACAATATGAACATTTTGTTCTGAGATCTCGATGAAAAAATGGAATGCCTCAGATATATCTTCAAAGCCAAGAGTGGTGTGGAAAGAATGCTGGGTTTGGATTCAGGCAGCCTGGGTTCCAATCCCAGCTCGGCCGCTCACTACCAGTATGTGTCCTTGCATCGATCTTTCACCCTTTTTGGGCTTAGGTTCCTTATTTGTAAAATGAAAAAGGTACACTGGTTGACTTCTAAGGTCTCTTTTCAACTCTAATACAATAATAATAATTATTATAGCAGCCAGCATTTATGTAGTGCTTTACAAATTTTTACCGATTTGCAAAATACTTTACAAATAGCATCTCATTTTATCCTCACAACAACCCTGAGAGATGGGTACTGTTGTTATCCCCATTTTACAGATGAGGAAACTGAGGAAGACTGAGTAAATCATGCTTGTTGACTGCTTGATTCTCTGACTTTCTGAAAAGCATGTAGTTTGTGGCTGCCATTAATTGATTAGTTCTCTGAGATCCGCAAAGTTTCATCATAAGGTTATTCAGTTCACAGGCATAAGGCATCTCAATTTACAGTCTGTTTGATCATTAGGAATTGATTAAAATAAATTAAAAGGAACCCAGGAGCTTGGGCCAGTAGAAGCCTATTCAGGTTTCGTCCTTTGATGGTAGTCATCTGGGAGGGAGTTGGGGGGGAGAGAAGAGAAGGAAAAAAAAGAAATTTACACGACAATTTTGTTGTATGTTTGAAAGGAGTAGCAAATTGTGCGCAGTAGATTTGTAGTTTCATGTACAGTCTTTTTTTTATTGTACTATGTTATGGAAATGCTTGTTTTATTACATAAATTTAAAAAATCTTAAAAAACAAATTTAAAAACCCGAAAAACTTTGTTTCACTCTATTGAAGGTGACTGCTGATGTGGGGAAGCTTTTGGGCGATAAGAAGGTGGATGCCATTCTCTGTGTGGCTGGAGGATGGGCCGGAGGCAGTGCCAAAGCTAAATGTAAGCCTTTTTCTTTCTGCATGATTCATTCCTCCATTTGTTCAGTACATTGTGCTTCTGTGTGCTAGGCACCGAGAGAGAGACAAAGATAACAGAGGCTCCGCTCTCAGGGAGCCGATGTTTGGGGGGGAGGTGCAAGCAGACTTCTGTCCCTGCAGAATCACTACTGTATCTACAGGTGCAGCCCAGAGGATGATAGGAGAATGACAAGGCACAGAGTTCTGCAGGAGGGCAGAAAACAAAAAAAAAAGCTCGTTTCCAAATGCTGCTGACGCTGACCGAGAGGCCAGCGCTTCCTTTTGTTGGCGAGCAGATGGTCTTTAAGTAATTCCATTCCATTCAACAAACGTGTATTATGTGCCTGATCTGTGTAACCCAGTGGTGTCCAACTCAGATAAAAATGGGGGCCACTCGACGGTACATAAGGATCCCTGCTGGCCACATTTTGACTTAGAAAACCACGTATTAACATTATCTGTGTTCTGTTGTATCTTTATTTTGTTAAATATCTCCCAATTGCATTTTAATCTGCTTCAGGCTATACTCAGGAAGGGGGCCCACATGTTTGATGTCTCTGGTGTAGCCAGCATTTCTTAAACTTCGGGTATCAATTATGGGGTCATGAAAAATTTGGTAACAGTAAAAGGTTTCTGAATGCATAATGAGCAAAAATTAATTCAACATCACACGTGTAATGAATCCAAGGTGTTTCTGGCAGTGCTTGTCCATGTTGCACCGCAACTTCACTGCGGCCATGGTTCTGAACACAAAGCATGCGCACTTTGCACTGTGCATTGCCGTGCATTGCCATGCAATGCCGATAACACTGCTGAAAAATGCGAGAGAGTGGAAAAAGTTTAAAAAGCCCTGGACTGTAGAGCATACCAGCTACGAGGTGGCATTCTCTAGGTCAGCAGCCATCCATTTCCCTGTTACTGTGGAAATGTTTGTTTGTTTTCACAAAGACTTGTTGATTTGGTCACATACACTTCTGCATGATACGACATGGGGAGTTGAAGCAAAGTTTGAGATCTCTCTTCCCTTCCCACCAGTTAGCACCCACATATAGTATATGTTGGGGATAATTTCAGAAGGAAGGCAGAGCTCAGATTGACTAGGACAGGGAAAGGCAGCTCTTCTCATCCCGTTCCCCACAACATGTCTGTGTGTGTTTTGAAAGCCATTATCATTCTGTTGTGCCCAAGATATTAATTCCTCCTGGTCCTGGGTCTGGGTTCTGTTGTTCCCTAAACATCAGTGGATAATTCAGGTAATTATCAAGAAACAGACTCCCACCTGGGGGTGGATGAGTCATACTAATGATTTTGCAAAATGGGCTCCACGTTCAGCAGGCTCTGTTTTGCAGACACCTTTCATCATAATTGCAATCTCTCTTTGGTTTTTTTTTAATGTTCTTTTTAAACATCATTATCTCTTTCTCAGACCAAAATACCTCTCTCTGGCCTCTATCCTTCTATATGAGTTATTTTCTTCATTAGCAAATAATAGGGGTAGACTGTGTTATTTTTGTGTTTTTATCCCTAGCAATGAGTAAGTACATCTTGGCATATAGAATGCCTTTAATAAACCAACCTTCCTTCCTTCCTTCCTCCCTCTCTTCCTCCCTCCTTCCATCCCTTACTGTTTCCATCCTTCCCTTTCCTCCCTCCCAATAACTCCTCCCTTCCTATCTCCCAAGTAGACTGTTCCTTTATATTAAATAAACAAAAACAAATCAACACATCAATAATATCTCAAAATATGTACCCATTTCTTCTCTGAAAAGTTCACCACTGCTGCTGAGAGGCAGGAGGCTGCTTCCTCATCAGTCCTGTGGTTACTACTGGTCACTGCAATGCCCAGAGTTCTTAGCATATACATTTGCAGTAATAATAACTTACTTTATAAAGCATTTTATGATTTGCAAAGCAGTGTATTTCCACTCTGTGGATAACTGAAGCCCAATGCTTTGAAGGGGTTAAACCAGTTGCCCATGGGCACGCAGTATGTGGTGAAGCTGGTGCTTCAGCCTGGGCCAGGGGTGGGGAACCAAACTTGGATTCAATTAGAGAACCGGCACTTGAGGACCTAGAAGGCCACATGTGGCCTCAAGGCTGCAGGTTTTCCACCCATGGCCTAGGTCTTCTGATGCAAAGTCCAGGGCTTTCTTCTTCCACTGCTACCTGTCCCTGTTGGTACCCCAGGCTTAGGGTATTGGGGGGGCTCAAATGATACAGTGAATATAAGGCACTTTGCAAACTTAAAGTAATTTATAAATGCCAATAGTAGTTATTATTATTATCATGATCATGATTATTATTATAGTACAGTCACCAGGCCTCCCATCCAGGGATGAATTCATTCCCTTAGGTTGTTTGTTGATCAATACAGAAGTCTGCTGGTAAATACTGAACAACTTAGCTGGGGAGATAACTTAGGCAAAAGCACTTTTAAATTTAGTCTTCTCTTTTTAACATTTTCTTAAGTCCAGACAGTCAGCCAGACAATGAAGCCTGGATTCGTAGCAGATTGTAGATTTCTAAGGTGAAAATGCTCACACTGAAAATTAAAAAATCAGTCTGACCCTGACTGGGTCGCTGTGGAAGCTGCTCCAGAAACATGTCCCTTGCCTTACCAGTTTAAACTTGTTCCCTGCCCTGCGCCGCCTCTGTTAGCTAGTTTTTAGATTTTGCCACCTAACCCATGGGTGCATGGGTGGGTGATTAGGCTAGATCAATAACACTTATATCGCCAGTTAAGGGAGTAGTGGTATGGTGTGATTGTGGCCAGAGACCATTCAGGTCTGGGAGTTAACCTCTCTCTCCCTCAGTTTCCATATCTGTTGTTCAGTTGTGTCTGACTCTTTGTGACCCCATTTGGGGCTTTCTTGGCAGAGATACTGTAGTAATTTGCCATTTCCTTCTGACCGACACTGAGGCAAGCAGGTTGAAGTGACTTGCCCAGGGTCACACAGCTAGTAAGTGTCTGAGGCCAGATTTGAACTTGGGAAAATGAGTCTTCCTGACTCCACGCTGGGCAGTCTGTCCGCTGCCACCTAGCTGCCCCTTCCTGATCTGTACAGTGAGGTTAATAGAATCATAGGATTTTAGAGCTAGAAGGGGCTTTAGAGGTCGTGTAAGTTATTCCCCTTAGTTATAGCCCAGAAAGGATAACTTCCCCAAGGTTATATTATCAGTTGATGGTCAAATTGGGATTTAAATCTTCTCGTTCATTGTTCCCTTTGTTCTCTCCCCTTCTTCGTAATACTGGCTGTTACCTTATGGGAGTTATCTAAGGCTTAAGATGATTAAATTTATCATTACTTTTTTATTTATCTCTTCCCTCCTTAGGGAGCAGGAACCCTTCGTTATTTGTTATAGCAGAATCCTGCAGGCGCTTAATAAATGTTTGTTAAATTGAATTAAATGAGGACATATACTGGAAACTGCTTTTAACTTTTCATTGCTGGGAAGATGAAAGAAATTAAGGGAATATATGGAGGCAGAGATAGACAGGTTCATGCTTCAGTTCCAGTTCTGGTCAGTTTGTTATCTCTAGTTCCAGTTTCCTTCTGCTAAGTGGAGGGATTAAGCCCTAGGGCACTTCCTTGGTGATTGCTAGATGTCCCTGATGATGGGGCATCTGGAGCTAAGGTAGTTTTTGGTGGAACCCAGGGTTCCTCGTCGCGTCCCGCTTCATGTTGCTAAATTGAGGACAGGGCCTCTAGCTGCTTTCTTGTCACGCCACGCTTTTGTTGCCAATGGCAGGACAGGGGCATCAGCAGAGGACGAGAAGACCATAAAAGGAATTCATTTCTATGGCAATGGTCTCCAAAGTGGGGTCCTTAGAATGACTCCAAGGGGGCTGTGACTGACTGCAACCAATCAGAGATGGGAAGATTGTTTGCATCCTCCCCTGCTCCTTTCACCCTCCCACCCATTCTGTCTTGGGCTTGTCTTCTACACGATGGCACCATCCTCTTTAACACTCCCTCATTTCACCCACTCTCTCTCTCACAACCAAGCTGCAGTGACCTTCAATATTAGACTTGCAGCAATTATGGCTTTACTTGCTCCCAGTCAAGTGAGCTGGAAAATTTCCAGTACTCCTTCCCTACCTCTCCTCTATCTGGCATCTATCAGTGATCTCTAGGTAAGAAGATGGATGCTGAATAGTGAATCATCCCTCCTCAAAACGTGCTTCATTTTTTCAGTGGAGAAGACTGAAACAGGGTGAATAGGTATGGGTTTGTTGTGATTACATTATTTTCTTCGTAACCCAATTCTTCTGAAAAACGAATCCAGTCATTAGTTGAATAGATTCTCATATAAAATATAATATTATATATAATATTAATGTATATTAATATATGGTTATCTGTATCACTAATATACAATCTATATATTACCAATATATAGATTATAATCTATAATTATTAAATAATAAAACTAAACTAAATATTATAATTTATAATCTGTACTGCATAATACTTACATATTTTATGTACATATTATAAATACATAATACATATATTACATAATATTACATATTACATACTTACATATTATATATACATAATATACTGTTAATAAATATTAGGTAAAAGGTAAGAAAAAATTCCCTAAAAACTCTAAAAACAGATGATGATCCAAGACAACCCAAAGGGCTCATGATGAAAAATGCTATCTACCTCCAGAGAGAAAACTGGTGAACTCTGAATGCAGATTGAAGTTACTTTTTAAAACTTAATTTATTTATTTTTGCAGCATGGCTAATATGGAAATGTATTTTGCATGATTTCACATGTATCATCGATATCATATTGCTTGCCTTCTCAAGGGTTGGGGAAGGGCTGGGAAGGAAAGAATTTGAAACTCATTATTTAAAAAAATGAATGTCCAAAATTTTTTACATGTAATTGGGAAATATTTAATGAAATAAAAATATATTGAAATATTAACATAATCATAATATACTATCTAACCTTTATGTAGAACTCTTTAAGGTTGACAGCATTCTTCTGAACTTCCTTATATCTGTGGAGCAAAACTGAGAGTTGGCCTTTCAGGGTATAAGGTATACCTTGTTTCACATCCATGGTCCCCTCTTCACTGCTCCGAGGAGAAAGTGTGTTTCCTTCCCAGTTCTGTAGGACTAAGACTGGTCATCCCAGTTCAGTGGTTCCATATCGCCTTACATATCCTTTACCTTGTGGTCTTGCTGGAACTGCTTCTCTTCATTCTATTTTCTTTACTCTGTGTCACTTAAGGTCATAGGATCATGAGTTTAGAACCCAAGGAGATTTTAGAGGCTACCTCGTCCAAACTCCTCACTTTACAAATGAGGAAACTGAGGCCCAGGGAAGTTTTTATGGTCCTTGTCCAAGGTCATGCAGGTACTAAGGGTCAGAGGTGATCCTTGAACCCAGGTATTCCCCAGTCTAGAGCCAGTGCTTTTCCTATTGTGCATCGTGTTGAATACAAACCTTACTTCATCTCTCTGAATTCCTCCTATTTACCATTTCTTTATAGTTGAGTAATAGCTCATTGTATTAAAACTGCACAGTCGGTTTGACCATTCTGCTTTTGGTTTCTTCTTCAGAAGAGGCTCTCTCCAGGACCCTTTTTTTTTTTTATTAAGCTCCTTTGAGTCAAATGGTATGAACAGCTTAGTACTTTTCATTTATAATTTCAAATTGTTTGCCAGAAGTGGTTGTACTAATTCTCAATTCAGTCAGCAGTGTATTAGTTTGACCAATCAGGTTTTAGATTTTTTTTTCCAATCCATTTAATAAGAAATGACTTGATACTTGAAATGACTCTTTCAGGGCCCAAGTCTTAGAATAAGTGTGGAATTACAATCTTGACTTCCCTTTTATAGAAGAATTTAAAGCTGGAATTAAAAGCCCAGCCATAAAAAGTTATGGCTCTGTAAAAGTCCAATTTAATGACTATATGGGGATATTCTTACAGATCCTTATAATAGGTTTAAACTTTATTAGATACATTGGGTCTTATAAATACAATATTCTTCCATAAATTATAACAAGCTTTGTATTTAAGCCAGTTCAGCAAAGTATAATAATTTAATGACTAAAAATTTCCCATTTAATTTTTTAAAATAATGTTTCTCATAAGAAACTTATTACAAGAAGGATAAAGGACTGAAACTTCTCATTTGGTAGGGGAGAAAAAACAATTTGGTATAAATTCCTAGATAGTGTCGATTCCTGTTTTGGCAGGAGTTTGAATATAAAGGTGACAGTGTTGCTGTCTGAGTAAGAAGAACTAGGGACAGATGCCATCAGATGGCCTTAGGGGAATGTTTGATCATGTCGGCCGGTGGCAGAATCTTTTGCTTTGTTCCCCAAATAAGCTCAGCTGGGCACTTACTCCACACCATTTAGACACAGAATCACTTAAAATTTTTCTGCCAAAAACAGGTTGTATGAGACATCGGTCTTCACTATTAAACAAAGCCCAGAGATAGGGGAGGAAATGCGTTTGCTAAATGATGAGGCAATGATATTAATAGAGTAGAACCATAAGACTGGAGATCTGACCCCAAGCAGGAATTCTCTTCACAACCTCCCTGAAAAGTTGTCACCTAGTTTCTACTTGGAAGATCTGCAGTGATGGAAAACTCACTAGCTAATGGGGCACATCTTTGTTTTTGGACAGCTCTGATTATTAGGATTATATTTGGTACAGGGTTTGCGGGAAAGTTCTTTACAGAGGGGTGAGAATAAGCATTTATATAGGACCTACTATGTGACAGGTGCTGTGCTAAACCCTTTTACAAATGTTATTTAATCCTCACAACAATGTGAGGTAAGTGGTATAATTATCCCCATTTTATAGTTGAGGAAACTATAGGCAAACAGCGTTAAGACACTTGCTTAGGGTCACACAGCTAGTAAGTGTTTGAGGTCAGATTTGCACTTATCTGACAGCACTCTAGCCACTTGCTGCCTCATTACTGTAGACAGCTCCTGGTAGGAAATTCCTTTTACCTGTGCAGATTAGTGATTTATCTGTAACTTAGAGTTTTTAGTGAGTTGCCTGGGGCACCAAAAGGTAAAATGACTTGTCCAAGATTACATGAGTCGCTATGGTACAAAATAGAATACAAGTAGATAAGAGGCATAAAGTAAGTAGGTAGGGGTTGGGCAGTGAGGTGGCACAATGGAGAGAGTGCCAGGCCTGGATTCAGAAAGACTTATCTTCCTGAGTTCAGATCTGGCCTCAGATACTTACTAGCTGTGTGACTCTGGGCAAGTCCCTTAATCTTGTTTGCCTCAGTTTCCTCATCTGTCAAGTGATCTGGGGAGGGAAATGGCAAGTCACTAGTATTTCTGCCAAGAAAACCTCAAATGGGTTTGGACATGACTGAAAGCTGAACAATAACAACAACAGGGGTTGGAGGAATTATTATTTGAGGTGTTGGTGGGTTGTGAGTGAAGTAGAGCACAGAGTTGAGATAAGGAAAGGTTTTATTGGGTAAGTGTCATTTGATCTGGTTCTCAAAGGATAGGTCAGATTTCAGCAGGTGGAGATGAGATGTCATGTAGGGAATGTATGGGGAAGATCCTGAACCCAGGTCTTTCTGATTCCAAGGCCAGGCTTCTGTAACTTTTACCTACAAGTCCTAATTTTGCCTTCTTTAGCTACCCAGAGTTAAAGTCTATTAGACTGTGAAAACAAGGACTGGCTTTTTTGCCTTTCTTTGTATCCCCAGTGCTTAGCACAGTGCCTTGCACTTAGTAAATGCTTAATAAATGCAGGTAAACTGTCTTAGCTCCCTCCTAAATGATAGCCCTTCGAATCTTTGAAAATAGGTATTGTTCTCCTATGTGTGGATACACACATAGGCATATCTGAATATGTGTATGTGTGTGTGTGTGTGTATGCATAAGTGTATATTTAGGGATGGAGAAGGAAATGGCAAACCACTGTAGTATCTTTGCCGAGAAAACCCCATAGATGTTATGGTCCACAGGGGCATGAAGGGTCAGACACAACTGAACAACAACAATAACAACAATATTTAGGGAAATTTTACAGCAGGAAATGAAATACGCTTTCCTATAAAAATCACTGCATATGTTAAAAGTGTGTTTGGCTACGTGATTTAATATTTAATAATTTAGAGGGACACATGTTGCTAGCTTCAAAATTTTCTCATTGCATGTCTATTCACATACTACACCAGAGCTCTGAGGGATGCTGTTTTATACCATCCAGAGTTGGAAGGGACCTCAGAAGCCATTTAGACCAACCTGTACCGGAACAAGAATCCCCTTCTTCAACCCACCTGAGAAGTGATCTTCTACCTTGAGGACCTCTATTGACCCGAAACTTAATCCCTCCCCCGAGGCAGTCCATTACACTTTGGATTAGCTCTGATGGTTAGGGAATTTTTCCTTAAATCTAGTCTAAATGTCTTAGCCAATTACCAACTTTGTGATCCTGGGCAAATATGTAAGGTTACTCTCTAGGCCTCAGTTTTCTCTTCTGTGAAATAGGGATATCAATAGCACCTACTTTATAGAGGTGTGTTGAATATCGAATGAGATAACGAGTGCATATCTTTGAAAACAGCTCTATATAAATGCTAGCTCTTGTTTCTTCCTTGGCCTTCTCTTCCTTCTGCCTTCCTTTTTCTCTTCCTCCTTGTTCCTTCCTTCTAATTCTGCCCTCTGGAACCAAACAGAACGTGTCTCATTTCTTTTACATTTGACAGTCCTTTAGCTGATGACAGCATATGCCCTTAATTCTTCTTTTCTGCAGGATAAATATTTGGAAATTCTTCCAACTAATAATCCTCACAGGCCATGAACTAGAGACCCTTTACCCTCCTGGTAGCCCCCTTCCTGTCATTCATTTCTAAGATGGGACACTGAGAATCAGAACAATCAGGTAAATTGTTTGGGAAATAGCGGCGTAAGGTAGAGAGTGAATGGAAGCAAGCTCTTTATTTCTCTGCCATTGGTGATTAACCAGGTGTTTTTTTTTGTTTGTTTTGTGTTTTGTTTTTTACCCCCCTCTAGCTCTCTATAAAAACTGCGACTTGATGTGGAAACAGAGCATTTGGACCTCAACCATCTCTAGTCACCTTGCAACCAAACACCTTAAGGATGGAGGCCTGCTGACCTTGGCTGGGGCTAAGGCTGCTTTAGATGGAACCCCAGGTAAGTCGACCATACAGCTAAGTAATAAGAGTGCCTGGAGGAGAGTGTTGGTAAAGTTGGATATGGATGGGATCTGGGTATTAGGTGGGGGTGGTGTTTAATCCTTCGGTCTTGACTTTAGGATTGCATACAGGCCCTGTTTGCTCCTTATTTCCCTTTAATGGTCTTTATGAATCTCTCCATGAATTTTTCTAAACTCTTTTTGAATCTTTTTTCTTCCTTAGTTTCTTCCACATATGAATGGGGATGGTGGCATAATGAGATGCTTGTATCAGTATCCTTCGAATAGAGAAAAAAATTAATCGTATTTATAATAACTTTTTTCCAGTTTCAAGGAGGTATTTGTTATTTCACATTTTGGAATTTGGTGCACAAATCATCTTCCGAGTATGAGTTGGCCAGAGGAAGTTTTTCTTTGGTGGTGTCTCACCTCCATTTATGCACCTACTTTTCAATTTTTTGATGGCGTTATCCTGTGTCCCTCTGGCCGTCCAAAGCCTCAGGGCTTCACCCAGACCTGTGCTGCTGTGTGATGTGCAATGACCCAAAATTACCTTTATCTTTGCTCCTTCCTCCCCACCTTCTGCTGTGGCCATGCCATAAGTTCTGATTGAACCACTCCAGACTTTTCCTACAGGGAAGGACATTGGTGTGTTTCTGACTGATTGTATCTTTTCTGGGCTTTGGTTTCACAGACTGAGAAATCCTAATTTTTATTAGCTTCTGTGCTTGTTCCTGGAGGATAACATACTTCATATAGTAATTCAGGGATCATAGATATAGAACTGGAAGTCACCTCACACATCATCTGGTCCAACTCTTTATTTTACAGATGAGGAAAATGAGACCAAGGGAGTTTGAGTTACTTGCCCAAAGTTACATAGGGAGTATCAGGTAGGAGTGAACCCAGTTCTACTGACTTCAGTCAGTGAGAGCGTTGAACCTGCCCCTCCTAGATCTTGGCTGATTTCCTAGTGAACTGTGACAGGAGAGATTTGGGTCAGATACCAGTTAGTGAAGCATTTTTTTCTAAAAATATTTTTTGTAATGAACAATAATCAACAAAATGAACTTTTCATTACACAAAGAATAGGAGAAGATTGTTTGTGATACTGAACTTCTGTTACAGTTTTTTATAGTGTATAACAGTTTACACAGAAGTAATTAAATTGCCCTGTTTGACCTTGTCCACGCTATTTTTTTTAGGATATTTAAAAAATGTTAATTTCCCTTCCCTTCTTTTACTTACTCCTCTTTCTCTTTTCCTTCTCCTCTCCCTCTATTCTTCCTCTCCATTTTCTCCCTCTTCCTCTCTCTTTCTCCCTCTCTCCTGTCCTTTTTCTCCCTCTCCCTTTCTCCCTCCTCTTTCCTTTCCCACCTCCCTTTTGTCTTCTCCCTCACCCCCCTTAGAAGCCCTACCTTGAAAAAAATAGTAAGCATAGTCAAACAAAATAAAGTTTGTTAAGCCTTTATTTTTTTTGTTGTTGTTTTTGGGTTTTTTTTGGTGTGGCAGTTGGGGTTAAGTGACTTGCCCAGAGTCACACAGTTAGGGAGTGTTATAGGTCTGAGGCTGGATTTGAACTCAGGTCCTCCTGACTCCAAGGCCGGTACTCTGTCCACTGTGCCACTTAGGTGCCCCTAAGCCTTTTTTTTTTTTTGTTTTTTGTTTTCACTTTTTTGGTTAGGCAGTGGGTTTAAGTGATTTGCCCAGGGTCACACAGCTAGTAAGTGTCAAGTGTTTGGTCTGAGGCCGAATTTGAACTCAGGTCCTCCTGAATCCAGGGCCGGTGCTCTATCCACTGCGCCACCTAGCTGCCCCCTCCCTCAGCCTTTTTTAAATATATGAAATGCCTACTCTGTGCTTCCCTCACAGTTGGGAGGGGAAGGATTTCACTGGGGCACAGGTACATGGAACCCCTTTCCTTCCTCTGACCTTTTGCTTATTATATTTATTTCTTCCAGAAAGTTGTTCACTTGGCTTTTATTTCCCTTGTTCTTATAGGCATACTAAGTAAGAGGAAGAGATTTTTTAGTATTATTTTAGGAGTTTAATTTGGCTGTCTGAACTGTAAAGATTTTACTACATGATCATTCTTCCCTGTCTGCCTGTGTTAAAAGTAGCCAATTAAATATTGCAGAATAGCTTAGAACCTCTCAGGGGCTGGGGCTGAATCTTTAGTCAGTGTCGTAATTGATGTATTTAGATGTTAGGGATCGACGACTAAGGGACTGGACCTGTGATTGTATTGGTGTAGAAATTCTCAGATAAGGTAGGCCTCCCCCCACTGCAGGTTGGTACCATATGCAACATTTAGTCTTAGAAAGTTGCCTGTTGGCTTGTATTCTCAATGAGTGTGGGGAAGAAAGGGAGGGAGATGATTTGGAACTCAGAAATTTTAAAAAATGTTTTTACACATAATTGGTGGAAAATAAAAAATTAAATTGGAAAGTTGCCCAGGACATTGGGGTTGAGTCTCTCAGGATCTCAAGCTGGTGACTTGAACCCAGGTATTCTGACTTTGAGACTGCCCCTCTAACCATTGGTCCATGCTACCTCTCATTTAGATGTTAAATAATTAAATTAAGTGAAATCTGCTTTTTATTTAGCATACAGTAGAGGCACTTAGAAAACAAGTAGGGGAATGAATAAGAAAGGAACCTGTGTAGGAATTGAGATAAATACATTTTTTACCCTGCTGCCCTCTGAAATGGTTTTATTATTGATAAGTCAGCTTTCTCTTAGTTGAAACTTTTAAAGAGGAGGCAAAAATTTTATTGATCATTACCACTTCTGTACTTGTCATGATCTTCCCATCCATAAGTCTGATGACCTTCAGCCTGTACCAAATATTGGGAACAGGACTACCAAGTTCATGTTTCATTCCACCTTAGATTTCATTTCCCCTGTGCACCTTAAGCAGGCGCAGTCCAGGGAAACCTGCAAGCAATTTAAATCTGGAGGAATCAGGGTTAACCATCCCTTCAGGCCAGCGGGATTTAGCCAACAATTTAGAGAAACAGTAATGCTATTTAAGAAAAAAGAAAGAGAAAAAAAACCCTACCTCCAAACTGTTTCTCTGTTTATTGCAAAGATTCTTTTATCGTGTCCTCTACTAAAGCTTTATTCATATGGGGTGTATTGAAGAGGGGACCTCTGGTTCTCAAGGGCTTCTTTGGTGGGGGACAATTTGGGGGATATCCTACCACCCTGGAGGGGATTTGAGAACAGGCTCAGCAGCAGACAGTATGTCTGAGACCAGCCTAGCTGAATTGAGAGAGAGTTAGGGCATGCATTTCTCAACCATAGCAAGATAAAAGTCTTTCTTTCAACTGTACTAAGTATTTTGCTTTGCATTCTACTATTGTTAAAAAATTGTAGTGATAATGATGGCCTATCATTGAATGTTTAAAGATGCAATGACTGAAAATTGAAATGAAAAATTATATAGATCATTTGCCAGGGGGGAAATATTCACCCTCCCCACCCCCACCTTCCCACCATACTGCTTAGATAAATTGGCGCTTTCATTCGCATGTTGTCCACAGGATGAAACTATTATCTATTATGAGTTCCTTGGTTATTTGTTTCCTCCCTCCAGAAAGTACTCGGATCACTTGTTTAAAATGAAAAGAAAAAGTGAAGTTTTGGGAGAATTCCCTTGATGCTTTTTGGAGAGACTCAGGGCCTTGAATTTAATTCTCTTTCATGTTGTGAGCTGGGTGGTTTCAATCACTCTGGAGATTCTAAGTCATCAAGGATTACCGCTGGCCTCTTGCAAACACGTGCGACCGATTAAGCAGAGATGCCAGTGGAATTGTGAAACATGCTGGTTGTTTGTGTAGAACAAATAAATACCTTGCTGAGGACTTGGCCCCATCTTGCAATTATACCTCGTTGTTGAAGCAGTGATAGGTTTTCCTCACTGGGCTCCTGTTTTCATGAACTTTTGTTACTGCAACAGTGGGTTGTAATGTAAACAGGCCTTTGCTGGCCTTACTCTGTGTTAGTAATGTTTAAGTACACTCTCATATTTTTCTGTGCATCCAGATTTTAGGAACAGAAGCCGAGGTATACCTCAGTGTTGAATTCACCTGATAAGAGTAATATGTGCTAATAAATAATAGTCTTGATATGTGACCAGCCCACTTTCTTTTCCTTTTATAAAATGTAAGTTTGATTTAAAAAAAATTTAACAAAAGTGTATACTCTTTCTCTCTACCTCTTTCTTCCCTTTGTAAAAAAAAACCCAGCCCACTTCCATTTCCAGTACTGCTTATCTTTTACATGATTTCTGGGGTATATCCTTTTTGGAAATAGACTGTACCTTATTTGCACTTGCTCTCTGTCTTTCTATTTAGTTCTTTGGGGCCCTGGCAGCTGTGATTCCTCTGAGACCATGGTGTTTCTGGGAGACTTTGGGTGTTAAAAAGATGAGCCTTAAGACAATCCCAAGGGACTAATGATAAAGTGTACTATCTGCCTCCAGAGAAAGAACTGCTATTGATTGAATACAGACTGAAGCATGCTATTTTTCACTTTTTCTTTATTTTTTTCTTTTGAGTCTTCTTGTACAAAATGACTAATATGGAAATGTTTTACAGAGTTGCACATGCATAATCTATATCTGATTGCTTACCATCTCAGGGAGGGAGGGATAGAATTTGGAACTCACAACTTTAAATAAGAATGTTTTAAAAATTGGAAAAAATTAAACTAGAAAGATGGGCCTTGTTGCAGATAAATGCTTAGGCTCTTAGAAAGGGCTGCACAATATCCCCCAAACTGTTAAACCTGTTGTCCTGTTCATTTCTGGACCCAGACCACTGTCTATAGCTTCTTTCCAAGGCAAAAAAGTACTGATTCAGCGCTAATTCAGTGAGTTGTCAAATCCAATTCTGTTGAATTCTGGCTATTTGAGAAAGTATCTCTGAATTTTTGCTTTCTGACACCCTTGTAGATGCATAGATAGATTTTTTTTCTTTTTCTCCACTTCAGTATTTCTCCACTAGAGTATTATCTCTACAGCTACTAAATTTGAATTATCCTTGTAGACAACAGTTACACTCATAGACAACTGTACTTATTTCCTCGGTGCTCTAGGTTCTCATTTCTATTTTTTTTTTTTGGTGAGGCAGTTGGTGTTAGGTAACTTGCCCAGGGTCACATAGCTAGTAAGTGCCAAGTGTCTGAGGCCGGATTTGAACTTGGGTCCTCCTGACTCCAAGGGTGGAGCTCTATCTACTGCGCCACCTAGCTGCCCCTCATTTCTATTTTCTTACCGTCCACTTATTTCTCATTCTCTTGCAGTTTGTCGTTTGACCCTTTGCTCAGTTGGAAGGTTGAGGTTAGCTAAGGTTACTAGTGATCTTTGGACTGCATAATATGATGGACTTCTCTCAGTTCTCATCCTTTTTGAACTCTGAAGCTTTTGACATTGGTCACCACTCCCTCCTCTTGGTTTTTTCTCCTCCCTGCGCTTTCATGACTCTGATGGTCTCCTGATTGTCTTCCCTACTTGACTGTTTCTCACTGTCCTTTGCTGGATCGATTTTCTTCTCACTTTTTAATCATGTGGTTCTCAGGCCTCTGTCTTGGACAACTTTCTCTTTCTCTGCCTTCTCTCTCAATGACCTCTTCAACTCCCATGAGTTCAAATATCATCTCTGTTCAGATAAACCCAGATCTATATGTCTGGCCCCGATCTCTCTCCTGAGTTCCAGGTCCACATCACTGGCTGTCTGTTGGACAGCTCCACCTGGATAGCCTATCAGAAGATCAGACTCAACAGAACTCATTCTCTCTTCTTCTTGCTTGTCCCCAGAATCCTTCCAGTCACCTGGAATCATAACCTAAGCATCAGCCTCAATGCTTCTCTCTCTTTCAGTTCCCCTCTTCTTGTCTTCTCTGTACATAATATTTTCAAAATGCTTAGCACATAGTAATAAGTGCTATAAATGTTAGCTGTTGTTATTATTTTCATTATTATTATTGTTACTTTCATTGTACCACCCAAGTCTCTCAAAATTTCATAGATGAAGAAATGGAGCTTGGAGGAGTTACTTAGCTATAGGTGGCAGAACTGGGATATTGTTTTTATTTCTTGCCCACTCATACGGCCACCAAAGTGAGTTCAAATCCTCAGCGCTCTTGGCTGTACTTTTGTAATAGCCTGCTTCGGGGTTATTACAAATACGGGTCAGAATTCACCTCTGTGCCTTCTGTCTTCTGTCTTCCGTGCTGGTCAAGCTGACATTAAAGCACAGATATGATTATGGCATGCCCTTTATCAAGAACCTTCAAAGGCTCCCTATTTCTTCTAGAGCAAAATGCAGAGTCTTGATCTTGACCTTTAAAGCCCTCTGCAATCTGGAACCAATACTGTTACAGATTTCATTACTTCCCTTAGTGCATGCTGCATCCCAGCCAGTCTAAGTGCTGTTCCATCTCCCACCTGCATGCCGTTATACTGTCTGTCCCCCAGGTGGGGGATATGCCCTAACCTCTCCTCCACCTCTTCTCCACCCCTTGGAATCCTTAGCTTCCTTCAAGGTTAGGTGGCACCTTCTGTTGGAAGCCTTTTCTGTTTTCCTTGGTTGTTAGGGCTTTGTCCCTTCTCAAGTTACCTTTTATTATTTATTTATATGTTGTATTTCCTATTAGATTGTAAGAATGTCGGCTAACATGGGGCAGGGACTGTTTTTGTTTTTCTTAGCTGTGAACACAGTAGACCGTTGATATATGTTTGTTGAATTATTTAGGAATATATATGAATTATATAGGATTACATATACAAGTATAGAAAATGGATGATCCATTTTCTATGGATATATACAAGGAGTCTCAGTACCCTTGCTAAAAGCAAGGGCTAATCATTGCCCCATAATTATTGAGACTACTACTACTACTACTAATAATAATAGTATTAGCTTGCATATATGTGGTCCTTAAAGGCATTTTAGTGCATTTTAGAGACATTGCTTGTGATCCTTCACAACAATCCTGTGAGTTGTAGATAGAGTCATTATTATTTCTAGTTTATAGACCAAAATAAGATCAATTAAAATAAAATCAGAGAGGTTGAGTTACTCTCCCAAGGTCACACAGCTAATAAGGCATGGAACCCAGGTCCCCTGACTCTAAGTCCAGTACTCTCCTTATTTGACTTCTCTGTTTCACACCAGCCTCAGATGAAGGATACACTGCCCACACTTTCCTCATCACAGCAGCTCAGTTATCTTGATTGAAGACCTTTTCTTTTGCTCTTTAAGATAGCCTTGGAAAGGGTGAGGTGATTCAACACATGAATCATCATCTGAAGCATCTCTGGCTTCAAGGCATTTATTTGAGATTTGTTTCTTCAAAGAGTAAGGAGGGCAAGAGACTGTCTTTGGGTTTGTTTTTTTTTTTTTTTTTTAAGTACAAACGCTGGATAGGAGCAGCATCTTAACTGGTTTCCAAATGAGCATCTTTCCTTAGCATTAAGGATGCTTCAAGATATACAAGGATCTGTGTCTTACAGTTTTATGTTGCTGTTCTCTTAAAAGCAGGCTAAGTTTATAGCTCAGATGCTGCTACTACCTCCTCTTTAAAATGCTGCTTTCACACCGCCTCATCCATGAAGCTTCCTCTCTTCCCCCAGCTAGAAGTGGTCTTTGACTTTTTTGTAGCAGAATTGTTTCTCTTTGTGTCTTCAGAATTTCATTCTTGAGAGCATCTCATTCCTCCTCGATTTCATTCCCCTATAGAATTTCAGGCTATGGATTCTTTTAAAAAACTTCATAAATCTAGTTTTATTATTATTTTTGGAATTTGTAAGCATTTATGTTTTCTTTCTTCTCGTCCCCCCCTCCAGCTCGAGACGATTATCTTTGAAAGACCTCTTGGCCAGGGCTCTTCATCTCTAAAATGGAAAGATGACACATCTTGAGAATGTTAAGACAAAGAACCCAGTGGTTCCCTTCATGTCTAGTAGAGTTTTAGTTACAATGCAGGGTGAAAAAAGATACATCTGCTTCCTGCAGCTCACAGCCCTTTCCTCTTTCCTTCATGGCGGAGGACTCAGGGTTTCCAGTCCTGAATACTTGGTGGCTTTCAGAAGCTCCCCCTTGCACAAAGCTCTGTCCCTTCCTGGCATTGCTGCTCCAATTTTGAGAATACTCCATATGCTTGTAGAGTACTTTATTGTTTTCGTAGTACCTTCCCATACAACTTTTTTATTTCTTTACAACTATTTAGGATTCTAGATCTAGAGATGGAGGAAACTTGAGAGACCTTCCACTCCATCCCTGTCATTTTACAGAGGAGGAAACTGAGGCCTGTGGAGGTTAAATGACTTGACTAAGGTCCCACAGGGAAGATTTGAATTCATGTCCTCTGACTTCAGAGCTAATACTCTAATTCTGGTGCAGTGAATAGAGTGCGGGGGCCTGGTAGTCAGGAAGACTTGAGTTCAAATATGGCTTCAGACACTTATTAGCTGTTTGACCCTGGACAAGTCACTTAACTTCTTTTTGCCTCAGTTTCCTGATCTGTAAAATAGGAATGATGATAGCACCCACCTCCCAGGGTTGTTGTGAGTCTCAAGGTAATATTTTCAAGGTGCTTAGCACATAGTAAATGCTATATAAATGTTAGCTGCTATTATTTTTTTTGCTGTTCCACACAAGTCTCTCAGATTTTTGTAGTTGAAGAAATTGAGCTCAGCAAAATTAAGTGTCCTGCCCAAGGTCACTTGGCTGTAGGTGGCAGTACTAGGATGTGAGCCTGGTTCTTCTGACTCCTTTTCCAGGGTCTTTTCTGCTCCAGTATTATCTTCCAAGACACAGAGATTAAGTGACTTGCACCACATCACAAGCTCATTTAGTGATAGCTGGAACTTCTACCCAGGTCTCTCAAATTCCAGTTCTGTGTTCGATATATTTTTTTTTTTTGAGGCAATTGGGGTTAATGCCCAAGGCCACACAATTAGTAAGTGTCTGAGGCCTAATTTGAATTTGGGTTCTCCTGACTCCAGGGCCAGTGCTTTATCCACTGTGCCATATTGTAAAGGTCTGCTGGTGAGAACCAGGGCATGCATGGGCTGAAACAGCTGTGTCCATGACCACTCCGTGATTCCTCTTCCTTCTCTTTCTCCTGCCAGCTTTTCTGCGTAGCTCAGGTTTAGACACGGGCAAGAGCAGACGTTGTCCTGTTTCAAGCTCCTGAGATCGGGTGTGTTTGTTTAAAAAGGAATCCCACGTCTGTACTGGGTTCACCATTTCTTTAGCAGCCAATCATAAGCAAAACAATCTCTTTTCCGTCTCCCCAGGAATGATCGGCTACGGCATGGCCAAGGGAGCGGTCCATCAGCTGTGTCAGAGCCTGGCTGGGGACAACAGTGGCATGCCGCCGGGTTCTGCTGCCATTGCAGTTCTTCCGTAAGTGACTGCATCATCCCCTCTGCCATTGTCTAGAGCCATGTTCATACGTAGCGGGGATTCACCCTCCACCAGGGACCAATGTATAAAATGGAATCTGAGCTTATTTAAGAATGTTTTAGTTACTCTTTGTTGTGTAGATGTTTTTAAAATACAGAGACTAGTCGTCTTTTATTTGGTTATAAAAATGCCCTTGGTTTATTTTATTTGGACAAGTTTTCCATTGTTAGCAGTGTGCTGTTTCCTAATACCAAATGGCCTTGGGAAGTTCCCTCTCTAATCTTTTGAATTGATCAATGTTCAATCAGTATACACTTATTAAGTACTTACTGTGTGCCAGGCGCTGTGCTGAGTGGTAGGAATATAAAAAGAGACAAAAGACAGGAACAGACAGTCTACCGGAGTAGAAGACATACAAACAAATATAGACAAAGCTAGTTATATAAAGTATCACTAGGAAATAATTAACAGAGTGGAGGCACTAGAATTAAAAGGAGTTGGGGAAGGTTTCTGGTAAAAGGTGGGGTTTTAGCTAGGGCTTAAAGGAAGTCAGGGAGGTCACTAGGCAGAGTTGAAGAGGGAGAGTATTCCAGGCATGGAGGACAGCCAGAGAAAATGCCCAGACTTGGGAGATAAATTAGCTTGTTTGTGGAATGGCCAGGAGGCCTGTGTCACTGGATTGAAGAGTCTGTGACTGCTAAGTAGACTTGAGAATTCAGAACATTATAATGCCCAGCTCTGGTCACATCATCACTCCACTGCCCCCAACCCTTAGTAATTACCAGGTTAAGTCTGATTCTTTATCTTGACTTTCAGAGCCCTTTACAGTCTAGCTCCAGTTCTCTCTCCAGACTTATCTCACGTTTCTATCTCATCACATACTCTCTGTGTCACCCAGATTGGCCTCCTGGAAGCATGTCCTGGGCTTTCCACTCACCGTGCCTTTCCTCATGTTTTCCCTGTGCTTGGAATCCCTTCCCCAGCTTTTCATCTCTGATCCATGTACTTTGGAGGCAGAATAATGTCATGGATAGAGGGTTTTGTCTTGGAGTCTGGAAGCCCTAGGTTAGAATCTTGCCTCAAACATTTAAAGAGTGTGCAGTTTGGGCAGGTCAGACCCTCTGGGCCTCAGTTTCCTCCTCTGTAAAATGAGGGAGTTGTATTTGACCAATCTGTGATGCTGTGACATCCCTCAAGACACCACTCAAATGGTGTGTCTTGTGAAATAAGAGAATTCTCTCATTCACTTGATCTCATAGTACTTTGTGTCACTAATACATGTTCTAGTTTGCATTCTACTCAATTTATGTACTTGTGTTTGCCACTCCAATTAGCTTTTGGGCTCCTTGAAGGCTGGGCTGGGTCTTATTTTACTTAGTATTTTTTCCTGTCTTGCAACAACTAGCAGGGTGCATTTCATAGACTGGATACTAACAGATGTTCACTGAGTCAATGAATGAATTACACAAAACATAGATTATCATTTCCTCTTTCCTTTTTTGGCAAGTGATGGTTCTGTATTAAAAAAAAACAAAACTCCCCCAAAACCAACGAGTTTGAAATAATGCTGTTACATTTGGGGAGGGGGTGTGAAGTTTTAAAACATCTTCAGGTGTTTAACTCAACATGGCCACTTCATGTCCTTTTTGTCTTGTACCCGGAGCTAAAGAAATTGATTGAATTGTGCAGAAATCCCAGGCCTTCCAAGTGAAAAATAGTTTCCTTTCCTTTCTGGTTATAAGAAATACTGGAGAAGATGGTTTGGATTCCAGGTTGACCATTTTCCCATTTAATATTCTCAGGATCTTCTGCATTTGATTGATAGATCTTGTTGGTTGATTGAATTTCATAAAAACGTCCATGTGACTTTCTTTGAAAGACGAGGGTATTTAATGAGTCACAGGACGAGTAAGCAGGTGGACTTTTGGAGTAATGTCTAGCTCAGTACAAACATGTAAGTCTGTTGAAAGTAATTTCTGTAGATTGAACGTGTAATATTTAACATTAACCTTTGAGACTGAAGGGTTACACTGGAATGACCCTCCCTTGAAACCAGATGCCATGTTTAGAAAATATTGCACCGGGAGGGTAATAGAGTGAATGAGAGAGAAAGAGAGAGAGAGAGAGAGAGATACATGTCATTGGAGCTTCTCTTGAGTAGAAGGTGGAATCTGGATGTGTCTTAGGCTCCATGTCTTCTTGTCTATGCCAAATTAAAAGGTCCTCTTGAGCTCTGTAAGCCTCAGTTTTCTCATCTGTAAAATGGGGTGAGGTGGGGCTAGACTAAATGATGTTTACTTTCTCCCTCTAACCGTGGACACCTAGCCTGAATCAGAAGAGAAATCTTGTTATATTTGCGCAACAAAAATAGTTGCTGACACCCCCCCCCCCCCCCACCTCTTCATTCAAGCATCACTCTCTTTAGTCTTTTCTGAGGGTTGGAGACAAAATCGTACCTTCTGCATTCTAAGCTCTGAGCTGGCCACTTGTGGGTGTGTAGGTATGGGACTGCTGTTCTTTTTTTTTTTTAAAGTTTAGGCCAGTTTTTAGATGGGAAGGGTCTTGCCCTATCAACAGCTGCTTCCTTAGTCTAGTCATAGGAACTATCCTTCAGGCAAGGCCTGCTGTTCTGGACAGAGTTGACATTCAGTAATATGGGGGTTGGGATGGGGAAGGTGTAGGGTGATGTGGCATAGTTCTGTATTGCTTCATGTTGAAATGAATAAGCATGCACACCACTCATTTATTTTTGGCTTGGCACATAATGAGCACTTAATGCTTTTTGACTTGGCATATTCATGCAGCCAGCATTTATTAAGCACCTTCTGTTTGCAAGGTACTGTGCTAAGCTCTGGGGACAAAGATGGAACAGTTCTTGCTCTCAAGAGCCTTACATTCTTTTGGGAGAAAATAGCACGTCCATAGACAAACTACGTAATTTCTGGGGTGAGAGAAACTCCCTAAAAGGGGGAGCACAGAATCAGGAAAATCCTCCTGCAGATAGATGATGGCATTTGAGCTGTGCTTTGAAGGAACCTGGGGATTCTAAGATTCTAGCATTCCTGGATGGCCTCCTCTTTCTAACTGCCTCCTTTCAGTTTTGTGGGTGGAGCATGCAGTGTGGAATTGGACTATATTTAGATTTCATTGAGGTTCAGTGTTGCACCCCTGCCCAAAGCCTCAGAGAGGCCGTAGGAAGGAGTGTCTCTTATCAGAAACATGGCATCCAAATGAAAGCCTTATCTCTCTTATCCGCAGGGTTACCCTGGATACGCCAATGAACAGGAAATCAATGCCTGATGCAGACTTTAGTGCCTGGACTCCATTAGAATTCCTTGTAGAGTAAGTATGCCTGCGATGCCAGCTCCTTGACATTTATTCATAGGACTGAGGGTTTACTAGAAAGTAGGAAGAGATCTTAGAACAAAGGATACTGGAACAAAAAATGTGGAAGATTAACATGGAGAACATGGGGTCAGAGCTGGAAGGAAGGGTCCAGAGAGACCATCTCATCAAGCAAAGAGGCAGAGGTTGCACTCTGTGGCCCTTACTAAGATACCTGCCAGCTCTAAGATGCTACGATTCTGTGTGTTTTTTAAAAGAAGGCTTTATTGGGGCAGCTAGGTGGCCACAGTGGATAGAGCACTGGCTCTGGAGTCAGGAGGACCTGAGTTCAAATGTGATCTCAGACCAGACATTTGACACTTACCAGCTGTGTGACCCTGGGCAAGTCACTTAATCTCAATTGCCTTGGCCCCCCCCCCCAGGGGGGGGCACTATGTCACTATGTAACTTTATTGTTACCTTTTTTTTTTGACGTCACCCTCATTTCTCTTCTATTGAACCTTTCTATGTAACAAAGAAAATAATTTAAACCAAGCCACCTGTTGGTGACCGTGCCTTCTCTAACTTTTGGGAAGCATACCTTGGTTGTATAGTTTAATTTATAGTCTAAAATGAAATTGAGTATGACTTGGGAACATTTAACCAGTTTAATAGTATCATAGGTCCAGAGCTGGAAGGGCCCTCAGAGACCATCTGATGGTTCAGCCCCCCTAATTTCAGAGATGACAACACTGAGACCTAAAGCAGTTAAGCATGGGAAGGGATAAGCATTTATTAAGTGCCTGCTATGTGTCGGCACTATGCTAAGTACTTTACAAATATCTCTTCTGATCTTTACAACAACTCTAGGAGGTAGGCGCTATATTATTATACCCATTTTATAGTTGAGAAAACTGAAGCAAGCAGGGGTTAAGTGACTTGCCCAGGGTCACACAGCTAGTAAGTCTGAAGCCAGATTTGAACTTGGGTCTTCCTGACTTTAGGGTTGATCCTCTACCCACTGTACCACCTACTACCTTAAAGATAGGGAGTGAGTAAAAGAGGCAGGATTTTCACTCAGGCCCTCTGATCGAAAAGTTAGTTCTGCTGTTCCACACCTCCTCTCAGTAGAACAGTGCCATTTACATGGATTTACTCCATGCTTCTGCCATTCCCCCCGAGTTGTGTTTAGTTGTATGGAAGCAATGATGAGAGTACGCTCCTGGGTGGAATGCCTGCTTTACGCCATGGAGGTGGGCTGCTGGGGTCGAGTTCTTCACTTCATCTGTGACCCACCATGAACCCTCCTTCTAGAAGTCATCCCTGGGCATCCCTCTAATTGCCATCTTCTCCCGGCTTCTTTGCCACCTCTTTTCTGTTGTGAAGGGACCAGGGCTGCTCAGGGAGGTTTAATTCGAGGCAGCAAGTCTGTAGTCTGAGGGACTGAATTAGTGGCGTGTCCCAGAAACACTGATGAAGGGGTCGCACGGTTCATTCCCAGAGTTCAGTGTCCTGTGTATGGAGTCGTCTCTGCTTAGTGTCTACGAATGTTGGTGTGCCATGGAAACTAGCACAGTTTTATTAATTAGCTGGAAGTACCTTATTTTCTTTGAAACTACATGTAGTGAATTTAGGGCTGTCAAGCTCCCCCTGATCTCAGCTGGCAAAGGTTTTAGATTGCCCTGGGAGTCTTCAGAATTGTTTGTTTTTATAACATTGATGTCATAGTAGAAACATTTATTGATGTTGTAATTGTTTTTATAATAAAGTCATAATATGTCATAATAGGAAATATTCTGATTTTGCTTCTTTCAGTCTGTGAAATACGTTTCTTTCAGATTCTTCTGACAGCATGGCATTCCATTAACATAACGTTCTTTAATTGACAGACATCCCTTTCATTTCCAATTTTTGCCACCACGAAAGGAGCTGTTATAAAGGTTTTAGGGACTCTTATTTCTTTGACCTCTTTGGGTATAGAGCTAGTAGTGGTGTAGCTCAGTCAAGAACATGCATTGTTTAGTAACTTTTTGCACATAATTCAACATTGGAAGATTTCTTTGAACTGATGAAGAATGAAATGAGCAGAATCAGGAGAACAGTTTGTACAGTGCAAGCAACACTATAAAGACCACCAACTCTGAAAGTTGTAAGAACCATGTTCATTATAAGCCAGGGACCATTCATGATTCCAGAGGAATTATGACAGAGCATGCCATCTGCCTCCTGACAGAGAGGTGATACATGTAGGGAGCAGCATGAGACATGTATATTTTTGAATACAGATATTGAGGAAATTTTGTTTTGCGTGCATGTTTATGATAAGGAATAAAGTTTTTCTTATCTGAAATGGTTAAAAGAATATGCCCCTAGCTGTGGATATTCTTCCTAGAGGGGAATTCTTAAAATGTTCTGGAGATAGCAATAGCACGGGAATAAAGTACATGGTTTCCTGAGATGACAGGGAAGAGAGAGGAAGGATAGAGGGAACATTTGGAATTATAAGTTCTAATTTGTTTATAAAATTAAAATACTTTCCCCATTACTATGTAGGATGATAGCATTAGAGCTGGAAAGGACCTTGTTAGGTCATCTAATCCAACCCCCTTATTTTACAGGTGAGGAAACTGAGGCCCAGAGAAGTCATACAGGTAGAAAGTGGCAGAGCCAGGATTCAGTCTTAGACTTTCTGCCCTGCTCTTCTAGTCCCATATTTGAGTGATTTTTATTCTTTGTGTCTTTTTCTGCAGATTTTTAAAACAGTCAGTGATATTTAGAGTATTGCTTTATACCTGGTGTCATAGGTCTTGAGAGACAGTGTTATGTAGTGAATAGAGGTATGGCCTTGGAGTTCAGAATGCCTTACTTCAAATCCTGACCCTTCGCATATTATATGGGCCAGTCACTTAATCCCCTCAGTGCCCCAAGAGACCCTCTGAGACTGCAGGTTTCAGATGAGTTCACTGATCTGCCTTGATGGGGAAAGTCCACATCACAACCTCCCTATAGCCCTCATATTGCTCGAAACTGTCATTTCTGTGTAAATAGATGTATTTTGTAACTTTTAAAAAAACCTTTTCTTTGTGACAGAACCTTTCACAACTGGATCACAGGAAAAAACAGGCCAAGCTCTGGAAGCCTAATCCAGGTGGTAACCACGGGAGGCAAGACTGAGCTGACACCAGCTTACTTTTAATAAGTCGTCTAAGATTGCAGCACCAGAAGAAAGAGCTGACACAGAATCCTAATGCTCAGCGTAGTTTTCCTACCGCCCCGTGTTTTCCCAGCAAATCTGTAGTCCCCCTTAACAGTGCCAGGTAGAGATCAGTATTTCTCTTTCATTTAATGTGTTTGTCTCCTTTTCAAAAGTGTCAAATGTTCATTTGAAAGAAATAAAGGAGGGTTATAAGGGTGAAGACCCTTAGGTAGGGGGCTGCTCAGAGATGTCACCCAGGGATGTTGTTTGGTCCTCTGCTGCCCTCATCATAATGTGCACTTTGTGTCTCTTCTGTCCAGTTCCTTGCAGTGACTACCTGAATGATGTGTGTGTTGGTGTCTTCTGGTCATTGTTTTTTATTGTCAAGATACTATTTGATCCAGTATTTGTGTAATGGGATTAATCGTGGTCCTGACTTAAATTGCCTTAAATGTCCATTAGCAGTGTAGGTGAAGGATGGCTCTTGCCAGGTTGTTGTTACAAATGTTTCGTGTGACTACCCAGATCTCCTCTGGATGGGGGAGGGAGGGGAGGGATGGATGTCTTAGCTACAAGGGAAGCAGTGGTGGTCATCATAACATGGCATGTGTAGGCCTTAATTAATGCTGCTTAGTTTACAATTTTGAATACTTTAATCAAAATGGAACACATGACTTACCGTCCAAACAACATTGTCTATAAAATGTCGGTAGTCGGATTTTAGGTATTTTAGCGACACTGTGAGCTATTTCTGTGATAGCTTTGTACAGAGCTGGATTTTTTTTTTAATTGAATAGTCAGGCATTTGTCCCTCATTCTCCTTTACTTTTTGATGTTATATAATTAATTTAAAATAAATAGAGACTATTCCCACCATATGGATGACTTTGTTTAATTTGGCTTTGTTATTGTTCTCTTGTTGACTCGTGGAGAACCATAGGTTTTATTTGTTTATTTTTAATAACTTTTATTGATTTTCTTTTTTTATATATCATGCTCATTTTTGGATCTACTGGTCTCTCCCTTTTGTCTCTCTTCTAATAATAATAACTCTTATGTGCCCGGCACTTTGCAATTACTATCTCATTTTATCCTCATGGTAATCCTGGGAGGTAAGTGTTGTTATTATCCCCATTTCACTGATGAGGAAACTGAGGCAACCATTGGTTAAGTGACTTGTACAACCTAATAAGTATTTGAGGTAAAATTTGAACTCGGGTCTTTCTGACTGCAGGGCCAGCACTCTATCCACTTCACCACCAAGCTGCCTTCTCTGTAGATTAAGAAGGAATGTTTCATTATCTTTTTTTTTCTGGGACCTTTTAGTAGGCTTGTAGTATTTTGATCTGAAAAGAAGATTTTTAACTCGGGTAACATAAGCCCCTCATTTTAGAGCCTCCTGGTTGCACTATTTATTACTTGTATGACCTGGAAAACTCCCGTTTTCTTGATTTCTTGATTCAGGGGCCCCCTAAGTCAGATTCTTACCTAAGCAAGAAGTCCCCTTCACAATACTCATAAAAAGGGGTCATCTGGCCTTGCTCGAGGAAGGACATCTAGTGAAAGGACAAACCACTCCCTATGGAGACGGTTTTGCAGAGTTATTGAATAGTCTTAGAGCTGGGAGGGATTTAAGGCATAGGGAAATGCAATGATTTGCAAAAACTATACAGCTAGTTAGGATTCTAGCCACATCTCCGCCGTTAATACCCAACCCAGGCTCTTACACAGCCCCTCAGTTCTTCCCTTGGAGTCCGTTCTTTTTAACCAAAGCTCCTCTCCCTTGTTTCCAAGGTTTTCTATAACCTGGCCCCACCCAGTCTCTCCAAATGAGTACTCCTTTGTTAACTTCCTGCTTTGAAAAACATTAATGCCTCTTCTGTCTTTGTCCATCTGCTCTTCTCAAAAGCCAGCAGCATCTCTAAAGTGCTAGGAGATGGATGTAGCATGATATGTATTTGAAGTCAGGGGACCAAGGTTCAGATTCTTTTACTGCTGTTTTGAAACTCATTTTGACTTTCTGGGACCCACTTTTCTTAATTGTAGAAAAAGAGGAGGTTGGGGTAAATAATCTCGGAGAACTCTTCCTGTGGCCAAATAAGTTTGAGAAATCCCTAGTTAAAATGGTTATTGTTTTTCTGTTGTAGCTTTAAACTTTGAAGTCACACATACTCAGAGGAATGTATCTCCTGTTTCATGCATTAACTCCAGATTAATGAAATTCAAGGGGGAAATATAATTAAATATGTAGAGATTCCCAGCACAGATGACTTCTTCTAGGACTAACAACCATCATTTAAGTCTTCGTAGTGCATTAGGGTTTGTGAGGCGTTCTTCTAACAGCCCTATGAGACATATTTGGCCAGGATCATCCCCATTTTCTGGATGAGGAAATAGGACCAGAGATGTGAATTACCCAGGGTCACATGGCTAGTAGGACTTCAAACCCAGGTCTTCTGACCCCAAGTCCTAAGCTCTTCTCTTACGCAGTGATGCCTCAGGAATATCCCCTTTCCTCTAAATGTGTTTCTTCTAGTACTGAAATGTCATGTTTTATGGGAAAAAGGAGAAACAGTAGATAAAAGATCATAGAAATCCCAAGATTTGGAGCTGGGTGGGGGTCTACTTATCTAGACCAAGCGCCTCATTGCCCAGATGACAGAACTGAAGCTTATAAAGATGGAAGGACTTGGCCATCGTCATGCAAGTAGTGAAAAGCAGAACCAGAATTCAAACTCGGGTCTTCTGGCTTCAAATTCAGTGCCCTTTCTATGCTACCACCCACCTTGGTGGTAGATCCTGTAAGTATGTGTTAAACTAGAAATACACACAGTGGTTCATACAAGAGTTAAATGGGTCCATAATTGTCTGGAGAGGCACATTGCAAAAGGCAGTGGTGATTAGTGTCAACTCTGGGGGCATACTAAGTGCTGTAGGAGAGTATATGTAGCATGAATAACTGCTACACCTATATACATATGTGTATACGTGTGTGTGTGTGTGTGTGTGTGTGTGTGTGTGTGTGTATGTATGAGAGAACTGAAGTTTGCAGAGTGCTTTATACACATCTCTTATTTGAGCATCCTTACCATCCTCTAAGGTAGGTACGATGTATTTTACTGATGAACAACCTTAGGCTTAGAGGATTAAATCACTTGCCAAGGGTTGCACAGGTAGGTAAGTGTTGGAAGAAGGATTTGAATCTAGGTATTTTCTGATTCTTTAAGTCTGGCCCAGTGTCCACTATGCCAGGCTAGCTCTCAATGATATGAAGATAATGTACTTTTTAGACCTTGCAGCGGTTTTGACCATTACCAGATCCAAAACTTCTAAAAAATGTGTTTTAAATAACTGCTCACAATTGTATTTGTACAGCCTGTGGGTCTGTCTCATTTTGGCTTCCAGTTATCTACCTTTGGTTTTAGGAATGGGTCACATAGCTTCTAAACCATATAATGAGCTCCCACTGTGTTTTACTATTACTAATTAGCTATAGAACTTCCTTAATTCATTACAAAGGTTTTTTAATTAAATTGCCATGTAAAAAAAGTAATCACCTAAACTTTTTTCAGTAAACTTAGAACTATTTCCCTCAAAATACAGTTAGTGGGAGGAATGGACATATGTAAGAATTACGTGTGGGATATCCACATAGAGAACACCTGTGTAAAGGGGTGCACCTGTAGGGAATGTGTGTGACCACACAGATGAGCAGCTCATGGCACTGATACAGCAAAGCTATTGATGTTTTCTACTGAGGCCATTATGCTGCTCTGCTGAACTTTCTCCTTATCAGGTATGGTTATAACAACAACGACTAACATTTGTGTAGCGCATATTATGTACCAGGCACTATGCCAACAATTATTTCGTTTGATCCTCACAACCCTGGGAAGATAAATGCTATTACTATCACCATTTTTCAGATGAGGAAACAGACAAACAGATTAAGTGACTTACCCAGGGTCACATAGCTAGTGTGTGTCTGAGGCTGGATTTGAACATGGGTCTTTTGAATTCAGGTCTGGCACTCTAACCATGGTGCCACCTGGCAGCCTCTATGATGTTCCCCACCAGGGCTTGTTCTTTGCTGTTCTTCACCGCTCCCTTCTTATCAACTCAGGCTATTTCCAGAATCCCTTAATGGGCTGTGCAACACCACTGGGGAGGCAGTGATTGTAACAACTCAGTTACCTTCCCTGTCTTTTGGGGTTAATTTCCTCTTCCTTGCAGAATAGCAGCTACAGCTCTTTCAGCCTATTAGTTTGTTTCTAAGGGTGGTAGCAGGGTCCAGTGGAAAGAGTGATGACTTTGGGGTCGGAGGATCTGTGTTTGAAGCCTGGCTCTGCTACTTACTTTCTGTATTACCTTGGGCAAGTTACAACCTCTCTGGGCCTCAGTTTCCTCAATTGCCATGTGAGGGAATTGGACTAGATAACCTTGTTGTCCTACCTATCCCTGGATCTATGATTCTTCAGCCTTCTGTGCCACACATCAGGTAGGTGTCAGAGGCGAGATTCACATTCAGATCTTGTGTCCAAATTTAGTATTTTCCACCTTGTGTAGTTCTTTAGCTTTTTGGTTTTTTTTTTCACTGCTTAATGGTCAACTACTATGTCAGTAGTCTTTTGGGAATCATTGACCTGCTGAAGTCTTGGGAATAATAATACATGAGGGTGGATAGTTGAATGAGATTTGGAGAATGCTGGCTAGATACAGTGGGCTGGGCTAGTTTGCACTCACTCACCATCCCTAAGAGTCCCCAAACCAAAACTCTTTTTCTTGACCACCACTGTCATGTCCCTGCCTATTAGAATATACAGTTGTGGGTAGTGACTGTCTCACTTCTGTCTTTGTATTCCCAGCATTTAGTACAATGCTTGGCATGGAGTAAATGCTTAATAAATGCCTTTTCATTCATTCATTAACAGTTTTTCAGTATGCTGTGTAATGTACGCATAAAACCAACTTCCTGTTATGTATGCTCATTAGGGCTGATGGTACACTCATAAAACTTAGATTTGCCAATGCATGCAATCAAACTTTATTGACTCTTTAGAAATATAAACAATCCCTCTAGGAATAAACCACCAACTTGATGCCTAAAGGTCCAACTAACAGTCTCCAATGCTTGTGCTCCAATAAGGTTCCTTCTCTGCTCAGTCAGAGGTTATGTGCATCTCCCTCCAAGGTGGTATTCTAGAAAGTCTATCAATTAACACTGCTTTGAAATGAACCTGGGATGCTCAATTTTTCTGAGAGTGGGGAATGTAGGAGTCCATCCTAGTTATGGCGCAGGAACAGGCTGATATCTGGGGCCTCCATTGGGTTTTTATAGTTCTGGCTAGTGTTTATAAGTTACAAGTTACATCTGAATTCTGATTGGCTATTGATTACCTATTCTTGTGATGAAAAGAAACTGTCAATCAAAACTTTAGTTTCATAACATCATTAGCAAGTATTTATTGTTTACCAGATTTAGGACTCATGCATATCATTAGCAGGTGTTTCTCAGTTTTGGGGGGGACTCATACATGTCAGCATACAGCATCAGTGGATGTTTACCGGATTTGAGGACAAACATAGGTGTCATTACCAAACTATACATAAGTGGTAATCTCATAGAAAAACAATTCATATAACAACTACTTAGTTACAATATAGAGGCTTTAAACAAAATGGAGTTGCTCATGCTAAATTAATGTAATTATGCCCACTATATTGTACAATCATAGTACTATGCATTTTAACTCAAATGTTGGTAAAGCCCTGGCCTAACCTAATTTTACAGAAGAGGAAATAAAACTAGAGAGGGAAAGTGATTCTCTCAGTCATGGCCCTAGTAAACATTGGAACCTAGGTCCTCTTACTATAAA